TTTCCAAGCTTCTTCTATCATCATCATAACATGGTGGTGGTGGTGCCACCACCACGCCGCCGTTATGTTGTTTTACTTGGCTGTAGAAAAGAACAAGTACATGTAACTCAACCACCATTAATTGGTGCTCCCTGCAAAGTATGCAGTAGTGTAATGATTGTTCCTGCAGGGATAAAAATAAAATAAAAACTCCTTCAAGCAACGCGGGGTAAGTGAGGCGATATGAATGGCTGAAACCACGAATTCTGCAGACTGACTGATAAAATCATCGAAATCCACTTGACACTCCCGTGATTCCAACGTGACATTGAATGCTCTCCTGATATATTTATATATCTTTGCCATTTCTTTTTCCTTTCTCACGAACTGTATACTTGAAGTGCCCTTTGTTTTGATTATCTGATTTTTTTTAATAATCACTGGGCATACTAAAGACTGGTTCTTTACCATTTCACTCTCGTCAATTGCCCATCATGCCTTTCATCGAGTGCTCCTCCCCACCCATCACAATGGGTAACCCCCGAATTGATGCAGCTTCCCAGGGAAAACTGCTGCCTACTATCATCGACGAGCTGGCTCGCGATGAGCCCAATGGTCTCTGGATAGAATACCCTACCTCCCCAACGGATTTGAACGCTGGATATAGCCAGATTACTTATGCCGAACTTGCAAATGCCGTGAACGGTGTTGCCAATTGTATTACCAGTGCTTTGGGAAGAGACAATACAGGAGAGTCACTGGCCTGGTTAGCGCCCAATAGTCCCTTGTGCTCTATCACGCTTATTGCGGCCATGAAAGCTGGCTTCAAGGTGTGCAAGTCATAGACATGTATATAAAGCCGTGCCCTTGTCGCTGATCACTGAGAGCTCTAGTTGTGTTTGATGTCAGAAAGAAATACAGTGGCTCAGAATCACAAGCTATTAGAGGACGTCGAATGTTCCATCATAATCACGACAAATGCGGTCTTTCCCCAGGTTCGAGCCACGTTGCGTGGAAAACAGATCTCCGTTATAGAGCTGCCGCTATTTGAGCAGCTCCTCCATGAGCACCAAAGAAGATACGAGTATAATAAGGAGCTGAAGCTACTGTACTACGAGACCGCTCTTATCATCCACAACCCGTGTTGCACAGGCAAGTTGTCAAAAAGCAATAACGAAGCTAAGGGTGCATCGGCTGATTGATCCTAGGATCCCCGAAGCCCATGTTGCTATCTCACAGTTTCATCGCAAATGTAGCACGTAGTATTGGGCTCTCTGCCCCAGAAGGCTATGAAACTCAGAGCTCCATGCTTGGGAACAAGAGATGCCTTCTGCTTTGTCCTCTGAGCGATGTAAGTGCAGTGGCTATACTCTCTTCCCGCAGGATTTTGCTGACAGCTCTCCAGCCGGCTGGCGTACACTTCGGTGTTTTAAATGCTATCTTTAATAAAACAACAGTCATCCTACCCCTCCCTGAGGTGCCTCCAACAGGCCGAAGTTTGGCTCAGACGCTCCGGCATATTGACGCAGATTGGGCAGTTCTAGCCCCATCAACCTTAGAAACCATGTCACATGATGCGTCGTCCCTAGAGGAAGTTGCAAGTCGTCTCGAATGCCTTGTGTTTGCAGGGGGTTGTCTTGCTAAAAGATATGGCGACTTGATCGCTTCCAAGATCAAGCTTATGCCCTCGCCACATTCACCTGAAACGGGGCAGCTTCCCACGATATATCGACATGAACATGATTTCAGATACGATTGGAACTACTTTCGGTTCCACCCTGCTGTGGGTGCAAGATTTGTCCCGAAGTCTGCGGGCGTACATGAGCTCGTGTTCAATAGAACACCTGCCGTCGAGCTGTATCTGCCGATTTTGGCCAACTCATACGAATTTCTGACGCAAGATTTATACGCCAAGCACCCAACTATACCAGACACATGGACTCATGCACCGCAAGTGATACCTTTGATTCATGGAGAAAAGCCAGAGCCTATCGACTTCAACAGAAATGTATGTAGCTTTTCAGATATCTCAGCTAGTCTCGGGCAGGTTCCTGGAGGTTAATGAAGTTTAGCGACTGCAATATTCAGCTTCCTGAACCATTACATATCGGGAACCCCTTAAATGACTCTAAATCTACTCGTATACCCGTAATCCAGAAGTTGAAGGAGTTTGACATTCCCCCCCCACGTACGATGTTTAGATGAGAACCATCGAGACCCATAACAGAAAGAAGGGCCACAATATTTCATTCAGCCGACCTGACCTCCGCCTTCATCGCAACTGTTCCGCCAGGAGCAATGATTTGCACTGTTCCTATACCAGATCCCTCTTCCTCATCGAGCACAATCTGGTACTCGTCCTCTGCGTATAACGGACTCGTCGCCCGGTACGTAATGCTCTCTGGGAGCATTGAAGCAGGATCGGCCGTGTTTGGCCGTGTATCTCTCCAGAGGTCCAAGATCGAGATCAAATTAAGCGGGCCGTGGACGACGAGATCCCTATGTCCCTCCATCTGCTGGGCCCATGGAGTCGAATAGTGTATCTTGTGAGGGTTGAAAGTCAACGCCGAAAACCGGAACAGAGTAACGGCTGTTTGTCTCAAGGTGCGGGTGTGAGTCTTGGCTGCTGAGACAGTTGACGAGGAGGCTGGTGCCGAGGGTAATGGTGCCGGGTCACTTGCTGTAGATGATACAGATGGTACGGCTAGTGCTTTACGGAAGACCCAGTTCCTGGTAGAATATTAACATCTCACGACCATGGGGACATACTAGTATCAACGTAAGATGGAAACTTACCGGCGATCAATAACCGCCACGCCATGCTCGTTGCGAAACTCCTTCTCTACGCCCACTACGATCATCTCCTCTCCCGTCTTACGTACAATCTTGGGTTCGGCACTGAGTACTTTCGTAGTTTCCTGGACTTCTTGTCCCACGCGCAATGGGTTAGGGCTCCCATCTGCGGCACGCGGCCAATGCACCTCGCCGCCTGCCCACATGCGCCGGGTGAATGGAGTCTCCGGGTTGTAGGAGACGTCAGTACCATCGGCACCGAGTTCATTTTCCAGAAATGCAGGAGTGAAGTAAACTAGATGATAACCTGGCGGGAGGGGCGTGCCAGCCGGCAATGAGGTTGAGGCATGGCTCAGCGATGGGGTGTCCGGGTATAGAGATGGACGGTTCAATGTGAGTGACAAGAGCTGTAGCTGATTGGCGTCAAGAAATTGTGAGCGAGTTTGCGGCCCCAGGGACTGAAAGCGCGACAAGAATGATGCTGCAGTGGCTGAGGCGGAGGAATCGGCCGCTGAACATCGACCATGATGTACTGAGAAGCGACGGAACGAAGAGCACCCTCGAAACAGGTTCTGGTTGGAATATCTGGCCCACTGTACAGTGGAAGAGAGCGACATTATGAGTTCACACGGCTGATATAGTCTGGACTTCGCTCAATTCCTCATTTACTTGCTGTTTGAGACGGAGGTTGAAAGCTGAATTGGATTACTGGGGAAGCATCTCGAGAGTTGGGGTCCTGGGGTTTCCGAAACTCGGGGCAATGGGTCGTCTCGGAATCCTAAACTGAGATGTTTCCGAGGTACTAACCATCTTGGGTAATTGCTTGTCACTGGATTGGAAAAGTAAAACCATCGAAACCTCGGCGACTTTTTCGTTCGCCGGCACGCATTCGAAGTTGCAAGGTGAGAATCAGACAACTCGGGGGATTTTGGTTTTAGCCGATCTGCTCTCGTTTTCTCCAACCTAAACCTTTAGACCCAACTTCATCTGATGACAATTCCTCCTGCTTTGTGGTTCGCCGCTTTCGGGTAGTTTGCATATCTACCTCGTATCTCTCTGGGAAATGTGCTTGCAAGACTAAGAAACACCTGGGCTTCGCCATAGTGACCCTTCAATGTGGTCATTTTTCGGTGAAAATGCATAGATGGTGGTCAAAAAGACAATAGCCGAGCTGACGACATGGTCAAAGCCGGAGCGAACAATCTGGGAATTGTTGGCTAAGCTTCGTATAGTGGAGCAATCCCACTTACTCTTGAAATGCTAACATAGCCGTTTGTCTTCCCCCTTACTATGCATAACCCGGCTTATAGGGGGGTATAGTGTAAGGTTGCCGATTTTGTTGGGCTCAGGTATGTGAGACTGGAAAGGTGTGATCGATAGCATTGCCAGTTAGTGACCAGCAGTGACAAGATATCCTGGATACTGAGGGTATAGGGTCTTCGTCTTCTTCACTTTGTACCCTCTCCCTCTCTGCCCATGTGCGGTCAATAAACGCCGATCGGCTGTCCTAGCACATGTTGCAACAGTCCAAAGCCAACAATCTGTCTGCACGATCCCACGCATTATCGAAACATAGCGTACATCTTCATAGGCTTCTGGATCAAATCTATAACGGACCAGAAATTATATACACATAAAAGATCATCAGGTCCGCCTTGCAACATGACAAGCAGGTGTCACATGGCTGCTGATCAAATTTCATGGCTTGCATGGAGCATTCTCGATCTCCTTTTACTCAATAAGACGTATCTCTTAGACGAGGCGCCACCATATCAGAAGGCTTGCAATGTGGCGGAACAAACCCGGTCTAGGCCAGCAGAAGGTCGCTAGCCCCTTGATAAAAAGGGAACCATGTGTCTTATCTTTTGGATTCGAATTCCTTCGACTGAACGCTACTGCAGCACTGGAACACCTCTCAGCAACACAAACACTTTACCCCCTTACATCAGGCTTGTAGCGATAGAGAGCAACAGTAGCATCATATTGAGAGGAACGATGAAATCGCTGTTCATGTGCAAGTCCTTGCACAGGCTGCTACTAATAAGCAAGGAGAGCTGCAACATTCCTGAAGCTGGATCGATTTAGATTCTGGACCTGACTCCATTCCATGTTCATGGGAGAAGCTTGGTGGACCCCCTCTTGCTATCTCGCCAATTACTACTTGGGCAATTGTCACATATCTAGGTTTAGGCATCAACATTTTACGGTGCTTACTCTGCAAGTTACATGGTGCCTCTGCTGCATCATGGACGCCACTCGACGGCTCTTCCGGGTAGCGAAGGAGTATAAATGTAACGAGGTCGGCTGATCGACGCTGTCAAGGAAGGGTAAGATTCAATGGACTAATAATTAAGGATCCCAATAACCACAAGGGTGTAGGAACACCGCTGATTGAGTTCGACTCACCTTCTTCTGTCATTTTTTTTCTTTATTTACTCTGTTCTCCCGCTCCCTGATCTTCTTTCGGCTACCAAATTCAACACCCGTGGCAATTGTAATGGCAGACGCTGAACAGGGTTGCGACCCAAAAGTACAGGTCAAGGAGACTGGACCCCATGTCCATACACTGGAGTTACTATCTACCGATGCAGAATTGAAGGGTTCCAAACTTCAGAAAGGCATCGCGGCATTTGGTCGAGTATTCACTCAAGTGTCTGGAGTGGAGGCTCGAGGAATTGAACGCGTAGCAGATGATGAGCGCCAGCCTCCGGCTCCCAATACTTACATCCGCATCTTTCTTTTGTGGCTGAGCTCTGCATTGACTGGGAACAACATTATCGTGGGACTGTACGGTCCATCATTATATGGGCTTGATTGGAACCAGGCCACCATATGTGCACGTTGGGGGTTATGCTAGGAAGTATGTGTGTAGGGTATATGAGTACTTGGGGTCCCAAAAGTGGGAATCGCACCCTGGTAAGAAATATCAAGACGATGATCATGGGCTTTATAGTTAATTTTGCACTCAGGTCGTGACTAGATACTTCCTTGGATACTACCTCAGCAAGGTTTGCTGTCTACTCAATATCCTCACCATGCTGGGATATGGCATGATGAACTGCATTCTCGGGGGCCAGGTCATCTATACAGTGTCCGGAGGCCGTACAGCTGTTCCTGTTGGTATAATTGTAGTATCAGCTCTGACTTGGTTCATCGCCACTCTTGGTGTGCACCTTTTCCAGTTCTATACTAGGTAACTAGAAGCCCTATACATAGATAGTTCCAGCCTCCACTGTCTTTATTTATAGGCTTCCAACTGACACCCAGACATAGATACGCCTGGATCATTCAAGCCCTAACGTTGGCCATCATGATCGGCTCTGCCGGGCCAAGCTTCATCACCTCACCTCACCTTTCCCCAGATATCCCTAGAGCGACCGCCGCTGATCGGCTTTCATTTTTCTCTCTTTGCTTCGCCTCAGCCGTTACCTGGGCTCCGGCAAGCGCAGACTACTTCGTCTACTTGCCAACAGCAACCAAATCATGGGGAATGTTCCTCGCCGGTAGCACAGGCACGAGCCTGGCAATGGCTTTAACAACACTCCTAGGCATTGGCCTAGCAACAGGGATTGACACAAATCAACCTTGGATCGAGGCCTCCCTTGCCTCCCCAGGGAGTCTGCTCGCGGCGTCGTTCAGCAACCTGCACGGCTTTGGCCGCCTTTGCGCTGTCATCCTCCTCCTCGGCACAGTCTCCAACAATATCCCATGCACATACTCCGCGGGTCTCAACCTCCAAATGCTGGGCCGCTACGGCCCACGCATCCCGCGGCCTCTCCTGACTACATTCGAAGTCGTAATCTACACCGTCTGCGCAATTGTCGCTCGCGAGTATCTTCGCGAGATCATGGAGAACTTTCTCCCGCTCATGTCTTACTGGATTGTGGCATGGCTGGCAGTTTGTCTAGAAGAGGCGTGGATTTTTCGCCGAGGTCACAACTATGACTGGACGGTTTGGAATAATCCACATCGGTTGCCGATGGGTCTTGCTGCCGGGGCCAGCTTTGTATTCGGGCTTTTGGGTGCCGTCCTTGGAATGGTACGTGCTTTTGTCATACGCAACAAGTCCCATACTACCATGTTGGACTATAACATATGCTAGGATATACAGTCACTAACGTGTCATTCCAGTCTCAATCATACTTTGTTGGGCCGATTGCCAAAGCCTTGCCTCAGAATTGTGATCTGGGTATGTGGCTTGCATTTGGCTTTACTGCGGTGGTGTATCCAGCTTTTCGATGTGTCGAGTTACGTGTTGTGGGACGGTGACAGTTTTGGCAGACTGTGGGAGCATATAACGTAGTATCCCTTGAACTGGGAATAAAGCTGTTCGGACGCTAGTGATATCACAAAATACATATACGGCTCAGACCCGAGGCAGTCTAAAATGGCGAGTGGGCAGGGTATCGACACCAGATAATTGGCGGGGATGATGTTCACTGCATACATATACCCGAAAGCGTTACAAAGAATATATACTGTATAGATCGTCATAACATAGGAGAAACCATTACAGCTTCACCTGTCCACCCTGCAATCGGCTCCAGTCATTCTGCTCAAAAGGCACGTAGGTGTCCCCTTGGAGCCAGTACAGCTTGTCCGAAGGACTGACCAGTGACGGGTCTACGCCTTCGGTTCGCAGGACATGCTTTTGCTGCTTGTTGTTTCCTGTTCCCTGCATTTCTGGCGCGAGGCGGAGGAAAAGTGGAACTGCGAAGCGAGGCAGATTCGTTAGGGCGTGAGCTGCAAGACTGCTCAGGGTCTCTTGGGTGGGGGGAAGAAGCACCGATGGGTCGGTAGCCTGGTGCTGTTGTTGCAGAATAATGGCGGCACAGCCGGCACGTCCGTCGTGATTAGGCAGCGCAACGCCATAGACGTTAGCTTCATGCACATCTGGGTGTGCTCCCAATACTTCGGCTACTTCACTTGTGGACACATTTTCACTCTTCCACCGGAAGGTATCGCCCAGCCTGTCGTTGAAGTACCATCTGCCTTCAGTGTCCCACCGCACCATATCGCCAGTGCGGAAGTATGCATCGCCCTTTCGCAACACATCACGAACAATCTTGCTTTCGGTGGCCTTGGAGTTCTTGAAATATCCTTGGAAATTCTCAACAGGATCAGCCGCATTGATGGCATACAATAGCTCACCGGGCTCCCCTCGTGGCACCGCCTTACAGAACCCTGTCTCAGGGTCCCGCCAGGGTTGCTGCGATTCATGATCAACCTGAACAACGGTCAGGCCACCTCCTAGAATTAGCCTACTAAGCAAGCCGTTTCGCCCTATTGCTCCTGCTGTGAAATCGTTAGAAGAGAGATTCCAGGACCCGCTGGTGCCTTCAGTTGCCGAATAAAACTCAGCAACCGTGGCGACGTTGAATCGCTCTTTGAAGCGGCCCCAGATATCAGGTCGCAAGCCGTTCCCGAACACGGCGCGCACATTATGCTTCTTGTCTAAGTCCTCTCCAGTGACAGCATCGATCTCGGGCGGCACGGCCATCAAGTACCGCAGGGTTTCACCCACGTACTGTACAATCGTTGCTTGATTCTCTCGCGCTTCTCGCCAGAAGTTTCTAGCGGAGAACTTGCGGCCGATGATCAGGGTTGATCCGCTCATCAAACAAGTTATGAACCCCAGGATAGAGGCGGATGAGTGGTAAAGCGGCATGCACTATATTGATATCAGCCTATTGCGTAAAAAGGGCAGTAAAGGTTTTGCAAAAGTTAGGGTGAAGCATACTGTGAAGAAACGATCATTCTTAGCCAACCCCAACCAATGAGTGACAAAAATGCTGCCAGACCAGCACTTCCTCCAGCTGACAATAGCGGGTTTCGGGAGGCCGGTAGTACCGCTCGTGTAAATGAGCAAAGCCAAGTCACGGAGGACAGGGCCATTTCGGACGCTGTCATCTTCGCGCGTGGCCTCCATCTGCACGATTTGGGATTCCACTTCGGGCGTGAAAAAGACCACCTCGACCGACCCACCACCTTCCCGGAACTCCGGTGAACCCAGCGTCTCCATCAGCTCAGGCGTAAATTGCTCACGGATTTCCTCGTCAACCACCAATAATCTAGCGGTCGATGTTCTGATGCAGTGTGTCAGGGGTTTCCCTGCCAAGTTGTAGTTGATAAACGCGGGCACGGCACCGATACTCCAGAGTCCCAGAAGGAGGAATACAAAGGTCGAAGAATTCATAAAATCCATCGCTACGATTTCCTTAGGCTTGATTCCGTGAACTTTCTTAAGCCAGGCGCCATACCGCAACGCCATGACGTAGGTTTCATGAAAGGTCCAGGCACGGCCGTTGTAGACAATGAACTGGTTGTCCTTGGTCGCCGGGGCCAGGGCATGCTGCTCCAGTACATAGAAGAGGTTTAGATGGTCACGACGCTCGGCCAAGCGAGACTTAAAAATGGACTTGATCAAGCCCCCGATTAATGTCACATCATAGAACAGTGAGTATTTCGCGTTCAGGTATGCGAGTGTGGTGGCAAGAGCAGGCGTAGCGATAGAAAGGGGCAGATCTGAAATCACCAGGTATATGGTCAGGGATCATTATCAATGAAAGGTGCTTTGTAGAGCCTTGGCACTCCGGGTGGGAGATCAAGTTACGTACCAGGTAAAGGGATAGACATTTTGGGGAGCTCTAGAAGGGAGCTGCTAGGGATACGCGCTTTACGCGAGTTGAGGCTCAAATAGTCGGGGTTATGTAACGAGAGGAAGCGTAGAAGGTCCAAAGGGTACAGATATTGGGTTTAAATGGACGACTGCATGGTCAATGGGGTATGGGTTATGGTGTTGACGTTAGGGCGATTGGAGTTGCCTCGGCTTGATTTATGGGTCCGGCTCTCTCGGAAACGGAGACAAAAGGTTGAATGTATTTATCTTCTGATCCACTTTTTCTCGTCTAGTTCATAAAGTAGTACTAGTACGTACGTCTCCCTGGGGTCCCACTTTGGCTGGTAGAGTTTAAAGTAAAAATAACAAGAAGTTGAGGTTGAAGTTGAAGTTTCGATCTCTTCCAATTGTTTCCATGATCTCCATATTTAGTTAGTTTACCTTAAATGTGATCACGCAAGTCACATGCTCATCTGCAAGGGAAAAACGCCTAGTATCTTGAATACTTATCGGAATCATACAAAACCATAAGTCTGATTGATGGCTCGGACCTCGAGGCGCTTCCATACCACCCCCCCCATCATTTAATTTATTTCTTCCGGATTACAGGGACGTCTTCATACCCGTCCTCCATAAAAGTCCTTAACACTTCTAACCCCTCCTCCAACACATGGGTTTCTTGGACCACTCCGATGCGGACGTAACCCTTGAAGTCCTCCCCCTCACCGAAACATTGACTTCCTGGGACAAACATGATGCCAGTCCGCTCCAGAAGAATTTCGCAAAAGGCAACATCATCAATGGGTTTTCCCATTTTACTGAATCGCACGAATGCCGTCGTGCCTGCGCGTGGCTTGACCCACTCGCAGGCCCACCGATGAGATTCAATGAACTTTTCAAGGATCGCCAGATTCGTTTTCGCCAATTGGATATTCCGCTTTAAGAGACTGTGGATGCAGCTTGCATCCAGGGCATAGCTCGCAATGGCGTCGTCCAATTGGCCCACCGAGATGGTAGTATAGTGCCGCGCAGAAGCGCATGTCTCAATAACAGACCGATCACGAGAGGCAATCCACCCCACACGGATGCCTGCTAAGCTATACGCTTTGGACATTGAACCAGTTACAATTGTGCGTTCGTAGCCTAGAGAAAGGAGTGATGATGGAAATTCAGGTTCCATAGGGGTAATAGAATGAAAGATAGGTCGGTAGACTTCATCGGCATGAACAAAGATTGACGAGCTGCGCGCAATTTCTACGATATCTTCCAGCGTAGCCTGAGGGATGACAGCCCCAGTCGGGTTCTGCGGATTACTGTTACCAAAACCTTGGGTCAGTCATGTTGGGCGGTATAACAGTGTGAAGAGGTAAAGAGGCATCCTATACTTAAGAATAATCAGCTTGGTGTTGGGGCGAATCATCTCCTTTAGCTCGTTGATATCCAATTTCCACCCATCATTCTCCTTCGATTTCCAGAGGCTCACCTCGGCTCCAAGCGACGCTGGGACTGAGTAAAGCTGCTGGTATGTGGGGTAATGACAGATGACATGGTCTCCCGGTCCAACCAATGAATAAAGCAAAAGGAAGTTGGCCTGAATAGCACCCGGCGTAATTAACACGTTATCAGAAGGCAATGGGGTTGGTGTTTTGACCGAGTAGAGATTGGCCAAGGTCCCTCGCAGCCGTTCCGAACCTCGAATAGCACCATACGTGAGTTTTGTAGAGAGATCCAATGGACTCAGAGATTTATCCTCGGACAGCTCTTGTAGATCTTTCACTGAAATAGAGGCACAACACGTCTCTGCGATGTTGTACTTGGCATGGTGTTCATATTTATCCATCCACTTCCATGATGTTAGCATAAAGAACGAGAGTTCATGCGGGGTTGTGAGGGAGGATGTATGTACATGCCTGCTCCACGGCAAATTCCTTTATTTGGACCATGATAATGATGATGACAGGGATAAGACTTCACAGAAAATCTTACAGAAGATGTAAATGTCTGATACTTGGCCTGTTCCTAGTCTTTTACTTTTCGTTTTGTTTTTTTGAGCTCCTGAAATAGAATTGAGATCGAATTCACTACAGATCACGTGCCCAGCGCCCCGGATTTAACGCCGAAGCCCCATTTCTTTGGAGTTAATCAGTCCATGAATGCCCCAGGCTGTCAGGCACCCGGTCGGCATGCCAATGCAGGTCCTCCGCCCAGCGTCATCGGTGACTTGCGCTACCGTCTCAACCTCTCAACTACATCTCTCCCTGCATCTCACCACCACTCCTTTTCTGCCTTGTTTTTGCTTCTCTTCAGCCTTGTCTTTCGCGGGAAGTTTCTGCATTTCTCTTGCTTTCCATAGATAGCGCCCTCGAGCGTCGACCAACAGCATTAATCAATGTCATCTTACCTACTAATCCCATCTGTCATTTAGTTACTCCGCACTGGTCACTCCGCTTGGTCCGAGACCCAGATTGCGAGTAAGTGAGGCGACTGCTGTCCGATCTTCACACACACCGATCACAATGCGATCAAAATTACCAGCGCAGCTCTACCTAGCCACCCTGCTCTCGTTTTCGGTGTCTGCAGCTGTAGCACAGAGCAACTATTCCGACGCCCGTGTGGTATCTCCGCTTTTTAATGCTTTCGATAAGCGCCCAGACGATTGCCCACCATGTTTCAACTGCCAATTAGATGCCTTTCAATGTGCCCAATTTGCTTCCTGCGATAATCTGTCCGGCAAGTGCGTGTGTCCCCCGGGGTTTGCTGGTGAGGACTGCTCGAAGCCGACTTGCGGGTCGTTGGCCGATGGCCATGACAGGACCCCGCGCACAGACAAGTACTGCAACTGCGAAGATGGCTGGGGCGGAATCAACTGCAATGTCTGTCAGAGTGATGACGCTTGCAATGCCATGATGCCTGAAGGCCAAGGGGGTGTCTGTTATAGCCAAGGTGTCACGGTCAAGGAAAATTTCCAGATGTGCGACGTGACAAACCGCAAAATCCTCGACCAGCTCAAGGAGAAGAAGCCCCAGGTGACGTTTTCCTGCAAGGCGGATGATAACACCTGTAATTTCCAATTCTGGGTGGACCAGGTGGAATCGTTTTATTGCGGTCTGGATACCTGCGACTGGGGCCTGGAGACGACCCACGACCGGAACAGAACTCAATACAAATGCGAAAATATCAAGTGCAAGTGTATTCCGGGCCGTATGCTCTGTGGAGAAGAGGGCTCAATTGACATCGGAGATTTTCTCGACCAATCCATCCAAGGCCCTGCCTCCTTCACGTCGGTGTCTACCATTGGTGGTAGTGCGAATGACGGCAGCAAGTTCCAGGAACCCGCCATGGATGACTTGATCAAGAGCGTTTTCGGAGACGAAAGTATCTTCCTGAACTGCCAGTCCGGAGAGTGCTTGTACAAGACAGATGTACCTGGATACACGCGTCCCGTGAAACAAATCAACACACCCCTCATCGCTGGAGTTATCGCTGGCTGTGCACTCTTTGTTGTGGCGGTGATTTTGACTGTGTGGTACTTATCGCGCAGATCGTATCGGGGACGTATTCAGTTGCCTCTCTCCGATGATTCGGACGATGAGGCTATTAAACTCTTGACGGATCACAAGCCAGCAGCACTGTATTGGGATAATGTGTCTTATTTCTTGAATGGGAAGGAAATTCTTTCCGGTATTCAGGGTGTCTCTCAGCCGGGCCAAATTACAGCGATCATGGGGGCTTCAGGTGCGGGGAAAACGACATTCCTTGATATTCTTGCTCGAAAAAACAAGCGGGGTGCAGTCCGCGGGGACTTTTATATCAACGGAGAAAAGGTCAATGACCACGATTTCAGGAGCATGATAGGATTCGTCGATCAGGAAGACACCATGCTTCCCACCCTGACTGTACATGAAACGATCCTAACGAGCGCACTACTGCGGCTTCCCCGGGACATGAGCCGAGCAGCCAAAGAGCAGCGAGTGTTTGAGGTTGAGAAGCAGCTTGGTATCCATCATATCAGGGACCAATTAATCGGCTCAGAAGAAGGGAAAGGCCGTGGTATCTCTGGTGGCGAGAAGCGTCGAGTGGGGATCGCCTGCGAACTGGTCACTAGCCCTAGCATTCTCTTCCTGGATGAGCCCACTAGCGGACTGGTAAGACAAAACGTATTCCGAATACCTTAATACCCAGTAATAGCTAACATGCTTAAATAGGACGCTTTCAATGCATTCAATGTAGTTGAATGTCTGGTGACATTAGCGAAGACTTATAATCGGACCGTCATCTTCACTATTCATCAACCACGGTCCAACATCGTTGCTCTATTCGACCGACTTGTTCTCTTGGCACATGGGAAGACTGTATACTCGGGTCCTTTTTCAACATGCCAACAGTACTTCGACAATTCCGGATATTCTTGCCCTCCTGGGTTTAATATTGCTGACTACCTCGTGGATCTCACGATGCATGCCAGCGTTACCCGGTCCCATACTGACGAGGTCGTATCCCCGTTGTTAGACGTGCGCTCAGACCCACCCAAAACAGCATCAAGCAGCTTGCGGGCTGTCAAGTCAGTTGCTAGTGCATCAAATGCAAGTATCGAGGACAATTCTAGTAGCACACTGGAGGCAAATCGAAGGCCAAAGAATGGCCGTCGAGTTTCTCTCAAGCAACGCCAAGATAAGCAACTCTACTCTCGGAAGAAAGATCGTGAACGTCCCGCCACCCCCAAAACGGATGAGGAAGATGTAGGTGATGTGACGGAGAACCCTCAGCAATGGTTACGCCTTTCTCGTCAGCAGGGTCATGTTCCGCCGCAGATCCTTGACGACCCTGATGAGTTACCTCCAATTGCACCAGGCCAGACCGATCTCGATATCTTGGTTGCGAACTATTCCAGCTCAGACGTTGCTCGTTCCGTGAATGACGAAATCGTAGCAGCCGTGCAGCATGCTAGTACCGCGAATGGTTCAGCCAACTCAGACATCCTCTCAGGGGCCTCTAGTACAACCAAGAGCTATGCTAGGGTCGGCCTGTTCCGGCAGTTTCTCATCCTGTCTCAGCGGACATGGCGGAACCTGTACCGGAATCCGATGTTAATGCTTACTCACTATGCCATCTCTATTCTGCTTGCTGTGCTGTGCGGATACCTGTTCTATGGATTGACGGACGACATCAAGGGGTTCCAAAATCGTCTGGGTCTTTTCTTTTTCGTCCTCGCCTTGTTCGGATTCAGTACACTCACTAGTCTCACGGTGTTCTCAGCAGAACGACTCCTGTTTGTTCGTGAACGGGCGAATGGCTACTACCACCCTGTTACGTACTTTGCGGCCAAGGTGGTTTTCGACATCGTGCCTCTGCGACTATTGCCCCCGGTGATCATGGGGGTGATCGTGTATCCCATGACCGGACTGATTCCCGCATGGCCAGAGTTTCTCCGGTTTATCTTAGTACTTGTCCTCTTCAACCTCGCAGCTGCCAACATTTGTCTCTTCATCGGTATCGTCTTCCGCGATGGCGGAGTGGCCAATTTGATTGGCAGTTTGGTGATGCTGTTCAGTCTGCTATTTGCTGGCCTGTTACTCAATCACGATGCAATTCCCAAGTCCGCTTTGTGGCTGCAAACAGTAAGTTTATACCTATTTGAACTTCCTGGAGGGAGGATGCAAAAGCTAACCAAATTCTAGCTGTCCATCTTCCACTACGGCTTTGAGGCCTTGATTGTCAACGAAGTGACGTTCCTCACTTTAATCGACCATAAGTATGGCCTGGATATTGAGGTTCCAGGGGCCTCCATACTGAGCGCTTTCGGGTTCGACACTTTGGCGTTTTGGAAGGATGTTATTGGGCTGGGTATAATCTCTGGGGCATTCATCGTGATTGCCTACGGAGCAATGCATGTTTTCCTCATTGAGAAGCGGTAGTCGCGTACTGAATGCATCAATCCATTCTCGCCTTTTACGCCTCGTCTAATCTACGTTCGGCGAGATTGGTGGTATCCGCGACGTTACTGTTTGGTGTTGATTGGTGACAAGATATTTGTACCATGCTTTCATAGCCTTTTCTTTTCTGCTTCTTATTTCCTTCCCTTTTTCTCCTCGCTTTCCTTTTATTGGTATGATTCGTTTTTCTTTTTTATGCTCACCATTCATATCATGTTAATCTAACCCCTGTCTTAATGCCCGCTGAGGGGTATAGACGACTCACCGGAAGTGTATATATGCCCATATGAGGAATGAGAATTACTATGACGGCGACAGTCGACGTTTACCTAGGTAGAAGAAGACTCCAGATGCGGATGGAAGCACGTGTCTCCCGTGTCTCCCCCACGTCATCGTGCGGACTTCCATATGAGGGGCAGTCTTGTTAACATGATATTAGGAGCATATAGTTATATTTACATGTATAATGTGTCAATTGGGGCATGTATATAATAAATGTAAAATCAGAGCAAATAACCCGACAACTTGTTTGTTACCTGTAGCTGGCAAGTTGACCATTTGAAGTCCGTGTTGACGGGGAGACTCCGCTTCTGGTAAGTAGTAGCCCCAACCGTACACTGAGGCATCCCACAGCGATATCGCATGCTCTTTTTCATACCGGTCTTATCGGTAATGCTCCAGTTTCTATGCCTATTCCGTAGTATCCTTACAGTACCGATCCTGTACCGTATAGATGTACGTATGTAGTATGTACATGTGCTCCGTAAATACTACTATGATCAATACTCACTAGACGTCGTCTCTTGTGTTTGGTTTTACCGTACGAGACTAGTGTTGTATTGGTTTCTCCAGACACTCTCACCGCCCACACCGAGTCCGAAATCCAATCCAATCCAATCGCCTTCTCCAGCCTCGACTTTCCACTTCTCCAATATATCCTCACGTCTTCTGCTACCGGGTGTCTTCCCCTTAAATTTGCTCCCTCTGAGTAGCCGATCATCCTCTCCGAATCCCCGAGAGCGGCTATATCCACCTTCATCCTTTTCTCTCTCGTTTCCCTTCTCTCCAGCTCCCAAGACATCCTCCGAGCACAAACCTCTCGAGTCTGCCCAACATGTCCGGCGAAGCGTGGCTCTACCTGTTGGCGGTGTTGATCAACGCCGTCAACCTGTTTCTGCAGGTGTTCTTCACGATTATGTATAGCGATCTGGAATGGTACGTTGCTGTCCCCTCGTTCGCTTGCGGGCATTAAGGTTGGAGGAGCTCCGACCTCTAATAAACCACTAAGCGATTGCGACGAAATGACGGAGCTAACCCGCCTTGCTTTCCCACAGTGACTACATCAACCCTATCGACCTCTGCAACCGTCTCAACGCCTACATCATCCCCGAAGCTGCCGTCCATGCCTTCCTTACTTTCTTGTTCGTCATCAATGGCTACTGGCTTGCGATCTTGTTGAACCTGCCTCTGTTGGCGTTCAATGCCAAGAAGTACGTCCCTCGGCTCTTCTTTCTATAAAATGAATGATAATCAACGGAGCTATGCCTCAATGCTGATACTAACCGGGACATTGCACTATTCAGGATTTACGATAATGCGCACCTTTTGGATGCGACCGAGATCTTCCGCAAGCTCAACGTACACAAGAAGGTCAGTTGCTCGGGATTTACGTCATCACTCACTTGGAATGCCAGCTGACTGATTATCAGGAATCTTTCATCAAACTGGGTTTCCACCTTTTGATGTTTTTCTTCTACTTGTACAGCATGATCGTTGCCTTGATCCGCGACGAGTCTCATTGAGTTCGTGACGCGATGGAGCATGCGATGCGCGGTGGCCATACTGGCCGAAGTATCGCGTGATGCGCTGTTTTGTCTTGCGATAAGGCTGGATCGAACATGATAATTCTCTCCGGCGCGGTACCTGGACGCGCTCATGTCGCCAAACTGGGCCTGCCCAGTTTATCGATCTCGGCGCTCCGCCGGTATGCCGGAGCATGCAACGGAAGATGGACGAAATGTAGGATATGCCTATGACAAGGAATCTGACGACGGGTTGGGGTGATGATCAATCTTTTGGTATAACGACTTAGACTGGGATGGTGAATTGAAAAACTGCATCGCAGCGATGCAGTTTAATTGACATATTTTGCGTGTATTGATTTTACGTTGCGACTGTATTCCTTCTTGATGTCTGATGTGCTGTATATACCACCACTCAAGCAGTGTGCCAATGAAGAGCGTACGATACCCTTGCTGTGCCATTGTAACAAGAATGCATCTCCGCATGCCTACCCCTACCAAAAAACGATCGTGGTAGAGGTAGTGTATATGGAGAGAGCGCCGGTGGTGTAGAAACGGTTGTGTTTCGCAGTGGGACACTCTTCGCCGCCCGAAAAATTAGACTCGCCGCCTTTGAAACTTTAGATTATCCAACGACCACCGCGCTTTTGCCTTTCTTGTCCCTAACCTTCCCAGCGCAACTGAGAGCTTCCTAAACCCACGTTCTCTTTTGCAGAAACTCAAATAGCCGTGCATCATGGCTTCGCTATTAGGTGCTGGCTACGAGTCGAGCGACGATGAGACCACGCGTCCCCAGACCCAAACTACCGCGCCGACAGCGACCAAGATTGTCGCAGCGCCAGAAGTAAATACAGAGGTTTGGTCCCCGGAATCTATCATCCTTTCCATTTCGTCCTTTTATCCATGTGTCCCTTAGCCATTATATAACTCTACTCTCAAATATTGCGTGCCAGGGTCTTGTGATATCTAACAATTGTACAGGACCAAGCACATATGCAGATGATGCTCGCTAATACGTCCTCCCAAGCTCTGACTTACAATGCAACATACGACGATCTCTCCCGACCCAACCAGGGCCCAGCGAATCCTTTTAAGCCTGATGGTCCCGCGAATGGGCTCAAGCGCAAGAACGTGCCGACGGGATACGCAGAGGAAGCAGCAATCAGCGCAGCCACCTTTGCCGCGCAACACCGCACGTTCCAGAGCTTAGGATACACACGCAACCCCGGGCTACCGGGGCAGTTTGTAGGAGATCTGGACCGGGCGGCACAGTATGGAGGTCGGGATATCGTGCAGATGAAGCCGTCGAAAGAGGTATCGGCAGCCTTGCGGGCCAAAAGACAAAGGAAGGGTGATTCGAGCATTGTCGAGGGTGAAGGCGCTTATCTGGGACCATGGGCGAAATATAAGGATGATGACCATATGTACGAGGAAACGGAGGCGGCCGAAGATCGGGAACTCGCCAGTGACGAGGAGTATGTGGATGAAGAGGAAGAGGAGATCGCCCCGGCTCATATGCCTGCCATGAGCAAGCAAGCGACAGACTACCAAGACGATTCATCCAAGGTGGAAACGACCGAGTTCCATGGGTCCGAGCAATTCGACTACATGGGCCGGACGTACATGCACGTACCGCAAGATTTGGATATCGACCTCAGGAAGGAGATTGGCAGTGTCAAGAATTTTATCCCGAAGAAACTCATCCACACCTGGAAGTCACATACCAAAGCCATTACATCCCTCCGTTTCTTCCCTCAATCTGGCCATCTCTTACTATCCTCTGCAGCGGACGGCAAGGCCAAGATCTGGGACGCATTCCATTCGCGCGAGCTTCTGCGCACTTTTTCCGGCCATTCTAAAGCTATCACCGACACAGATTTCCATTCCACCGGGAAAACATTCCTCACAGCATCCTACGACCGCCAGATCAAACTTTGGGACACCGAGTATGGCAAGTGCCTTGGTCGTTTCTCTACCGGCAAGACGCCACACGTCGTTCGGTTCAACCCCGGCGCCGAGCACTCCCACGAGTTCCTGGCTGGTATGTCTGACAAGAAGATCGTCCAATTCGATACCCGCTCCGGCGAACTGGTCCAAGAATACGACCACCACCTCGCAGCAATCAACACCATCACCTTCGTTGACGATAACCGTCGCTTCATCTCCACATCTGACGACAAATCCCTCCGTGCCTGGGAATACGGCATCCCCGTCCCGATCAAGTTCATCGCAGAACCATACATGTTCGCTCTCACACGGGCAGCACCCCATCCAAACGGCAAATACGTCGCCTTCCAGTCCGGCGACAATCAGATCGTCGTCTACGGCGCCACGGATAAATTCCGCCAAAACCGAAAGAAGAGCTTCCGCGGCCACAACAACGCCGGTTACGCCATTGACCTCAAGATCTCTCCAGATGGCCAGTTCATCTGCTCCGGCGACAGCGCCGGATACGTATGCTTCTGGGACTGGAAGACCGGGAAAATGTACCACAAAATTATGGCGAGCGGTAAGGAAGGCGGTGCGACGACTTGTCTTGACTGGCATCCTCAAGAGACGAGTAAGGTTGTCACTGGTGGATTGGATGGTGTGATTAGATACTGGGACTAGATCTAGAGCTTCTTTTTTGTCTTCAACTTTCTGTTCCCTTCTTACTATGGTGAAATTGATACCAAGATGAGATGGCTATACCTCCTCAACGCCATTTATATCATCCTATATTGTATGTACTTAACATATCTTTATCAAGGGCATGGGTACTTGGAATGGACCGGGAATACCTGGAGGCTATAAAAATCAGGAACTATAATGGCCAAGTGCAGCAGTATAAAGTCCCAGATCCACGTCAAAAAACTGATTGGATTAAAGTCTAATTCATAACTTTTTCTCCATATTTCACAATTAATATACATGAACAACGGTAAGGTATGTGCAGATGCACTCTCTCGACTACGACGATGACAAATGGAGGAAGACTGATCAGGTACATCACAGCTAGAAGCTAGCCATCTCGATCCAGCTAGCTACAAATGCTAATCTCCGCCCACGATCTGCTGCCATACGATGCGAGAATTCCTCGAAATTAAGCTTGGCGCCTGTGCCTCCTCGTTCTTTTGCTTCACGTTCGATACGATTGAGGTAGGCCCAGCGTGAAAGAATCAGTGGAGATGGGGGCATGGTGGGGCCATCTCGAGGTGGGAGTGTGGAAGTGGAAGCAGGGGGTAGAGGTTGGATTGGTGAGGGGGAGAGTTTGGGAGCCGTTGCTTCTGCTTCGGGTGAGGAGGCGGCGATTGACGGTGGTGCTGGGAATGAGGTTGTACCGTTAGGTTGGAGGCGAAGTTCGGCAGGAAGGGTTTGCGGGAAGGTAGAGTGTGTTGGGGAAGCGTTGTAAGCGTTAAAGTGTGACTCCGAGGTACCGGGTAGCTCCTGGGTATCTTCATCTGGGCGGTGATGTGGCAGTGTAGGGTCAAAATCGGATTCAATAGATGGTGACCGACTCCGTTCTGATATTGGGGATTCTGGTGATGGGGCATCTGGCGCACAATCCGGCTCTTCCTGCTGGGTCTCAGCCAAAGCAGGCTCGGTTAAGTCCTCTTCAGGATCAGCGAGGTGAGTTGGTCGTACATCGTCGTCCGGGAGCCGCAATGTAGGCGACGGAGGAGCAAGTATGGGTCCGTCTCGGGTGGGCTCTAAAGGCGGGCTTCCGATAGTATATCCCGCCCGTTCAAGCAGTTCTTCGAGGGACCTGTCGCCAAAGGGATTATGCAAGGAAGGCTCCGGTTCCTCTTTGGCCTCGTCGTCCTCGCTCCGCCCATTCAGTCGGGCGAAATGCTTTCCGGCATCTATTTGCTCTACTAGCTCAATCTCTCGGGCCCAGATCTTGCGCTCAGTGCGCGTCCGATAAACTTCCATGAGCAGGTCTTCCTTGGGTTTGAACAATAGATCAAGCAGTTCGTTGAATCCTTGTTGCGTGACTTGATATAGAATTTCCTTCCCAACGTCCCTTTCTACTTCAGGGATTTCGAAGCCTCCCCACCGCTCACCAACAAGTATACTGCGTGAGGATGTCGATGGATTTGACCTCACATCATAGTCATCAGTGACGTCGTCCTGGAACCGCACCTTGGATGAAGAACGGGAACGAGGAGATGGCGGATGTGACTCAAGTTCAGAATGTTGGCTATGGAGGCCATCATCAACCGATACATCATCCGCGTCTGAATCGGTCTCGTAGCCTTCAGGCGCAGCGGCGCCATCTTCCTCGTCGGTGTAGAATGCCCTTCGCCGCCACCGCTCATCAATCCCATATCTACGAGCGGCATCCACCCGCCTATCATCATCATCAAACATTCTGTGGTACACAGCAGTGCCGATCCGAGCCCTGTCAACTGGGTCAGTTACCTCTGATAGGGGGACATAGGCCCCAAGAGCCGTCACAATATCCTCATCGCGGATATGTTCGGCCGGAGGCCAGCGGTCAGTAGCAACCGACGAACTAGAGCCATCAGAGCTGCTGGCATCATCTATGTTCTCGCCTCCAGGTCTACCTTGATCGGGTAGCCGAACGGATGGAAATAATGGTCGGATACTGCCGTATCGGCTCCTAACAGCAGCATCACCGACGACGGCATGCCGGTCACCAGAATCGGTCCCGTCAGGGCGCAAGATACCTTCGTTGTCCACGATTTCCATATCTCCTTCATGGTTGACGCGCTTGCCTTCTCCGGTCCTAGACACCTCTCCTGCAGGTATGGTGCCGGGAAATGCAGAACTGATTGGCTGGCTCCCCAGAACAACATCTCGTGCACCGCCCTCTAAGAAGTCGTCTTCCATGCCTGCCACCATGTCTCGTGTTAATTCTCTGCTAAGAGCGTAATATGCCCGGAACACCCGTAAGAAGTCCTTCCGATCCACGTAACCGTCGCCATCAATATCATAACCACGGAAGACACGGCGCAACCTCTCGTCGTTGCTCTTATTGTTAAGGCTTGCAAGGCCTTTCAAAAATTCTTCAAAGCCAATCAAGCCATCACCATTCGTATCATAGAAAGCAAACATTCGATCGTAGATAAGGCTTGGAGGGGGTGGACGGACAGATGTGTTGGGCACGAAGCATCGATCGAATGTCTTGCGGTCAATCGCCATATAGAGCTTGTTTGGGTCGTCTGCCCATTCGTGGTTTGCCAGGCAACGAAATTGATCCCAAAGAGCGTCCAGCTCCGTGTTCTCGAAGTTGGTATCCTTCATCAGACGCTTGGCCAGGGATCGATGTAGACTGCGGGGAAGCATGGCAGGCTTTCCAGGATACCAAACAGGCTGGGACTGTCGGGGATTCCCCAGGAAAGGAGCCGGGATCCGTACTTTGTAAAACAAATGGGTCTTGATGTGAACCTGCATCGCCTCACACGTCTCACAGAGATCGTAATCGATGCAGTTTGCGCATCGGTACCGAATGCCTTGGATCGGCATAGCGCCACAACTGTTACACGTTACTCCTCTGTGGATATAACCATCTCTCCGTGCTTGGTCCTCGGCGATATGATAAAGTAGGTTGAGCAAGTTCTGGCCTTCCCTCGACGGAGAGGCGTCGTTGTGCCCTTCGCGCCAGGAAAAGACGCTCTGATCATCCACGACTGTCTCCCCACCATCCATATTTTGCGCGGGCGTAGATTCATCGGGGAAGGTAGAAGTAGACAAGGTAACCCTCTCCCCGTTCTGTCGGCGGCGACGCAATTCTTCTCCGTAGTTGCTGTCTTCGTTGAACCGAGCCAAGGCCCTCTCGATCCCCGCACGCGATATCCCACGCCGCTGAAGCTGCTCCGTCAAATAGTTCCTTTCCGGGCTGCCCTCTTCCACAGTATGCGCTGGCGGGAAGTCCAGAGCGAGAAATGATTCCAGAAACGTGTCTTCCATCATCTCGCGCATCCGCTCCGCATGAGCCTGGGGAACGCCGACTTCCTCCATGAGCTGATCCCGGGTTGCGAGCAACGACGGGAGCAGCCCACTTTCCACACGTCGGCCATCTTCTGTTTCTATGCGAAATGTACCATATACTCCATTCTGGCGCTCTAATTGCTCAAGGTGTGCGATGGCTCGAGAAGAAGGAGTTTCGACGGGCACAACCTCCGATCGTCTCCTTAGGCCTCGCGGGCGGCGTATAGTTCTTCGGCGACGTAGAGATGGTTGGGATGAGGAAGAGATGATAAGATTGTTGATGTAGACAAGAGCGTAGGCTGCTGCGACACCAGTGAGTAGGTAGACAATAGGACGATACCGTGACAAGGCCGGCCTTGGTTGAGATGCCGGCATAGCGGTGTTTGTAACGGCGAAAGGGCTATGGGCTATTGAACTGGGTCATTCTCATCGTGAATGTGCGATAAGATCCGGAAAAAAGCGTGCAAAGGAAAGAAAACCGCTAGCAATGAGGTTGTCAGCGTGACAAGTTTGGAAGCTGAAGGTGGGAGTATAAGTTGATTGGGGAAGAGTTGGAGAAAGGCGGACAACCAAAAGCCCGTGAAATAAACGACCGCCTTCGGAGTTGCAGTAAATTAAGTGTTCTACACGACACTACGGCCTCCAGTCATCAATCTTCTAATGTCTTTGAGTTCGCTATGTATTGTCGTAATAATGATAAGTCACAAAAATAGTAGCAGTGCTGCGCAATTTGCAGATATATGCTGTATGCCCTCTAATTTAGAGATTGCAATATACTCGTCTTTTTGGGGCGCATTTGTCGTGTCAGCGCAACCATCAAACATCACTTGGATATTCTCTGATAGCCCAGATCACCGAATCAGCTTCTTTTCACGCATAAAGAAGCTGCTGACAAGGGCAAAGAATACCACAGCAATCATGAATGCAAAGCCTTTATTCATAGCCCATCCATAACAGCCCCGAACCGCTTTCGCAACACTCGGATCAAGGGTCTTAATAAAGTCGAGACTCTGGCGCACGCCATCAACGATGCGGTCAATATCCTTACTGTCACGCAATGCAGACCTCAGCCGGCCCCGAAGAATCTGCTGGACCACTGTTGAAGATAAAGATAGGCCGATCACTGAGCCTAGGGATCGGAAGAGGTAAGAGCACGCTGTCACTACTGCCTGGTCTTCGGGCGTCGAATTTGAGACTGCAAGAGAGGTCAGAGCAACTCCATTTATTGCAACTGTATCTTTTTCACTTACTGAGGCAGATCAACGTTGATGTGACACCGATTCCATTTCCAAAACCCGAAAGTACCATTCCCATGATCATCGGTACAAGACTTTCCGTGGCACCTCCAGAGAAAAGGAAGATCACTGTGACTCCTAGTGTGAGTAATGAATATGCCGCTACCGTCAGCCAGTAAAATTTCCCGGTCCATTTCATGACGAATCCGGCAAAAAGCGACCCAGTAACGCCGGCAAGAATACTGGGTAGAAGACGCAGCCCAGCGACAGTAGCAGACACACCGTCTACAGCTTGGAAATAGAGTGGAATGTAGAACAGGGCTGCCAGCCAGCCCCCGAAGCTGAAAAAGTTACAGCCATAACTAGAAAAGAATGTTCGGTCGAAGATAATATGACCGGGGGCAAATGGTTCCGCTGCGTAGAAGACCTCAACCACAATGAAGAGCACGAATAAGATAGCCGATACACTCAGCGAGATAATGGTTATCGGTATGGTCCAGGACACATTGCTACCGCGGTCAAGACCTAGAAGAAAGCCAAGGACCGCCCCAACGAGAATAATCGCTCCTGGAAAATCAATACGACGGAGCTTGTCCTTCCAGTGACTATTTTCCTGCGGTGGCAATTTCAGTATGATAGAAACCGCTGTGAAAGCAAGAACACACATGGGAGCTTGAGCAATGAAAGCCCTATGAAATGTATCAGAAGCAAGCAACCTTTTACACTGGGAGAGAAGCCATACCAACGCCAGCCAATGTAGTCTGCCAATATACCACCTGCATGAGGGATAACGTTAGTGGTTGCCGACCAATCATAACGCCTGCCGTACCTAAGGGTGCTCCAATTCCCGATCCAGTAGCATATATAATATTGATTATACCTTGCCAGACACCTCGATCTCGCAGCGGAACAATATCACTTAGTAGAATGCTGACAACGGTGGTCATACCGCCTCCCCCAATACCCTGGAAAACCTATACTCCCATAAGCCACCCCATATTCTCATTCATGTAAGATCGCCAAATACTTACACGAGCAGCAATCAATTGGTGGATATTCTGCGCTAGACCGCAAAACAAGCAGCCAGTGCCAAAGATAGCATACGCCCACAGCAGACATGCCTTGCGACCAAAGATATCACTCAGTTTTCCATAGAGCGGCTGGAACGACGTTAAGGTTAGAAAGTATGAAGTGGCAATCCAACTTGTCAGATTGAGTGCATGAAGATCGCTACCAATCTGCCCATAACTGGCCATGATAATAGTCTGGTCGGCTGCAGATAGGAAGACCTGGCATAAATTAGCACAGGTATACAACTAATCACGGGAAAACGAGACCATACGCCAATTGAAATCGCAGGAAATATATAGCTCAGTCGTGGGCTTGATTCTGTCACGTCTTTGCCCGACGCTTCCTGTGAACCACCATTCTGCCCTACCGTGTCGGGGTCGCGCAGACCAGAAATGACACCGTTTGAGGGACGGACAGCATTACCGTTAACTTGCGGGCCCAGCAGCGGGGAAGTCTCTGTAGGTGTCCTTTCTGGGGCCATGATGCTCACTTCACCAGTCCCACGGATCGAGGATTGGACTGTGTCAATCACGACAGATACAGGAAGAAGCGACGACTCCACCACAACTATACCACCGGCCTCGGGCATCTCCAGGTCACGTGATGATAAGCAACCCCACTGAGCTTACAAATTAAACCGAACAAGACACACCCTCATTGGATCAGTCGGCTCTCGGCCCTGGATGGAGCCAAAAGACTTGAGCCGATTAAGTTTCATACCAAGTCTTCAACGATAGCGGGAGTAGGGCGATCACGTGGGTGGGAATGTTTACTATGGAAATGTTCTGAATCTTCTGATTCACTTTTATGATGGAAACCCTTCAGGCTGTGGGCGCCGTGACCTGGTGGAATTCTGGGTAGTATGAATTTTCTTATTCGCTAGTCTCGTTCACTCAACTCTTTTTTCTAACATCTCCAGTTCATGCCTCGGTTTTCGCCTCTTCAACTGTTGGCATAGGGATAGGTCCGCCAGGAGAGTCTGGTAGACGAGCGGTCAGTACCTCAACACCGTCTTCCGTCACCAGAAGTGTGTGTTCGAATTGGGCAGACAGAGATCCATCGGCAGTGGTGCTGGTCCAGTCATCAGGCCATGTACGGTCCCTGTGGGTACCAATATTGATCATGGGCTCGATTGTAAAACACATTCCAGGCTTGGCAGTTCCTACCGCCTTGTTCTTCGCGTAATGGGGAACATTAGGAGCGCAGTGGAACAGCTGGTTGATGCCATGGCCACAGTAGCTCTTGACCACACTGCAGTTGCGGCTCTTCGCATGCTTTTCAATGACGTTTCCTGGGTCTCTGAACAGCATACCCGGCTTCACCAACTCAATAGACTTCTCCAAACACTCCCGAGACGTCTCCACTACTCGAACAGCATCCGGGTTTGACCGAGCCTTCTCTCCAACATAGTAGGTTTCGTTAAGATCACCATGGAAGCCATTATGGTACAATGTAACGTCAATGTTGATAATGTCGCCGTCTTCAAGTGGGCGCTGATCGGGAATACCGTGACAGATGGTCTCATTGATCGATGTGCAGACAGATTTGGGGAAGTGCATATAATTCAGCGGCGATGGGTAGGACTAGACGCAATTCAGTATCAAGCGACGCGGACAAGCTTACGATAGCGCCTCAAATCAAGACGGCCACTCACATTGCGCTCGACACAGGCCTTGTGAACGACTTCATCAAGGTAATCGGTCGTGATACCAGGCTTCAGTTCCCGTGCGGCGATATCCAATACCTCACGAGCCAGGCGGCAGACTTTTCTCATGCCCTCCTGCTCCTCCTTGTTCAGGATAGTAATGTTATGCCGGCCGATGAACTTTTGCTCTGATCGAGGAATACCGTCCTTGGCATAGTCGGGGTGGGGGATAGATTTGGGCACTGTTCTCCGGGCCGAAAGTGGGTAGACAGGTCGCAAAGAACCGGTGAAAGGGTAGGCTGGGTAAGGATTGAAGAGGCCGGTGGCTGGATCTGGTTCAGAAACTACTTTTGGCGGAAACAGGTTTGTGAGGATATTACTCTTTGTTTTATGAATGGCCTTGTGCTCGCTCTACAACAACATTAGTATACATGCGGAGTGGAGTCAAAAAGAGAGTAAAGTACGTGGACCCTACAGGTCACACTAGGCAGCCTACCCAACTCCGTTTAAAACAGTCCTGTGAACAAAAGAAACTATCTGTGCCCTGTTTGAGGCATGTCGGACACTGCAGAGTTCCCGCGGCCTTGTCGCAATCCACACCCATGCATTTCCGAGTCGCGGCTTCCACTGCCATGCTGTAAGAAAGAGATAGAAAGTCGAAGGGAGAAAATAGCGCAACAAATGCGAAGCAAAGTCAAATTGGGGTATCCTATGCGGATCAAGCGTTGCTAGACGTAGGAAAAAATGGGAAAATCCCCCGCGGATACACTCGTCGGTCGAGTCTCGGCGCAGAAGGAACTATCCCTAATGCGGCAAGGCTGTTAGCCGTTAACGTCAACGGTTAAGCGCAGCCAGACGCGCGGCTTGGCATCATGTGATACTTCTACGTACAAGGCGAAATTTAAGCGTCAAAAGTATGGCGCAACCATCGCTGGCTGTAATTGGGGAGAAATCGTCGGAATGCCACTCACGTGTTAATCACGTGAGGCAAAGTTCTATCCATGAGCCATAGTCATTGTTTTAATATAGGAGTGAATAACTTTTTCTTCTTTGAAGAGAAGCAAAGTGCGCTTGACTTGATAGACCTGTTTCTGTTCTACAATCATCATGGCACATGAATCTCCGAGGAAGCAGAAGGTAGTCATCGTAGGTGCCGGACCAGTCGGATCCCTCGCAGCCCTATATGCTGCCGCTAGAGGAGATGATGTTGAAGTGTATGAACTACGTGGAGGTGAGCCTACATTCACGACGTGCCCATGCTGTATCGTGCGATATCTACTAGAATGAGGATATGAGTTTCTCGACTCGAAATTGATTTCCGTGTCGCTGAAATGACATCATCGTCTGATATATGATACATCCCATGCTGCATCATAGATGTCAGTTGTGGATCTTTTTGCTCACCTTGTGGAGTAACTTGCAGACCTTCGTGATCCTACTACGGTCCCATTGAACTTTACCAAGTCTATCAACCTCGCTCTGGCTGAACGAGGTATCTCGTCCCTGAAAGGTTCAAATCGACATGGCATGATCGACAAGGTTCTCAACGATGCAATCCCTATGCATGGTCGTATGATTCACGGGAGAGACGATGGAAAGCTCTGGGAAGCTGCGCAGGCATACGACGTCCATGGTCAAGTTAGTACTTCCATGACTGATGCTTGAGGCTCTCGTGTCTAACAACAGGCTCACAGGCCATCAACTCCGTAGATAGGGGCACGCTGAATAATGCCTTACTTGATGAGTTGGAGCGGACGCCAAATGTCACATTGTTCTTCAATCACAAATTAACAGGAGCTGATTTCCAATCAAACCGAGCATGGTTCGAACGTCGAGCCCCAGGGGATACTCCCCTTCCTGGCTCCTCCAACCGTGTCCCTGAGATCGAAGTAAGCTTCGATTACATGATCGGTGCAGATGGTGCTCATTCCGCCTCGAGATATCACATGATGAAGTATTCTCGAGTCGACTATCAACAGGAATACATCGACACCCTGTGGTGCGAGTTTCGGATCCCACCATCGGACACTGGTGACTTCCGCATCTCGCCGAACCACCTGCATATCTGGCCCGGAAAGGAGTTTATGTTCATCGCTCTTCCGTCGCCTGACAAATCCTTCACCTGTACTCTATTTGCCCCAGCCGCCCACTATGCGCAATTGGAGAGCTCACCGCAGAAACTGTTCGAATCCTTCGATGTTAACTTCCCCGGTGTCTCCCCGGATCTGATCACCCCTGAAGCTCTGCAAGAGCAATTCAAAGAAAACCCTCATCTCCCCCTGATTAGTATCAAAAGCAAGCCTCACCACTATGGCTCCAATGTTGTCATTGTCGGAGATGCCGCTCACGCTATCCTCCCATTCTATGGGCAAGGTCTCAACGCAGGTCTTGAAGATATTCGGGTCTTGTTTGATTTCTTGGACAAGCACGGCGCCTTTGATTTGAATGCAAGTCTCGCGACTCGCCGCGAATCACGCCGAGCAGCTTTTCAAGCATACACCGATCAACGAACGGCAGATACGCACGCCATCAATGACCTCTCCAAACAAAATTATCTGGAGATGCGCTGGGGAGTGAAGACCCCACTATACAAAATTCGTAAGTCAATCGAGGAAGCCCTCGATCTCTACGTGCCTAGCCTTGGCTGGAAGACCCAGTATGCTCGCGTCAGCTTCAGTACACAACGGTACTCGGACGTCGTCAAGGCGGTCCACAGACAAGGCAGGATACTCGGCTACGGATTCGCATCTGCTGTCATCTCCAGCATAGCTGTCGCTGGAATACTGGTTTGGAAAACACCAATCCGGCTTTCACCGCTACCTGCACTGCAATCGACAGTCCGATTTTTAGGTCATGCTTGGACGAAGATTTCGCTTAGAAACGCATAAGGTGGATGCCTAGAGTACTTCCATTCAGGATATGTTTTGTTAAGTAAATAAGTTTTTTCTCTTTTTATCTGTTTTCGTGACTCAGCGTCTGTCTTGCTTATAGAGAGGAGCCTTGGATATAGTTGAGATTTTCCCCAAACGTGTTGCGCGGATGATAGACAATAGAGCATCGAATTCAATGCTTGTCCCAATTAATTGATGTATTCCTCGTCGCGATATTCTTACACGTTTTCTCTCCTGATTCGGGAAGAACATGGATTGCATGGTCTTGTTACCTAGTCATTTTAGACAGCCATCGAGTGCCCATGGTGCCACAGAATCACCGTCGCTTTCCTGGACGCCGGAAAACGTATGGCCTACGAATACTAAGAATATGAATGGGCTGTGAGTACAGCCCTCAAATTCTCAGCATATCCTTAGCATTTTCGTCGGGCCCAAGCTAGCCACTTCTTGCATTCTTACTTTTCTTTTTGTCGGCATAATTGACCTTTTCTCTTTTCTATCTTGCCATTCGCTGTATATGTGTAGCTCAGTCAGAGGCATTATCGGCAAAATTGATCAAGGAACGTGTCATAACCACGAGTTTCCCCCTCGATCGGTGATAATAAGACAGTTCAGAAAGACATATCTCACCGCAGTTTGACTTGTAGGATATTGCATGGTCACTGTTGTCTTTGGATCAATAGGGACACGTCTGCAGTTTAGGCCACCATGGAAATAGCACATCGGATTGAAAAATCAGACCATTGCAGCCAGGAGTCTATGAACAAGACAAAAGGTGACATAACAGACATTCCATCATCCGGTACTGTATAATCAAACGGTATTTCGGGAGGCCGACCACTGAAGCCATCAAGGTCGGATAGAGCAATGACAAACAGACAGCCACACCATAAATACACAAAGTCCAGTATCATAAAATCAATCGGGCGCTGAACATAAGAGTAGGCCAAAGCAATGCCTATGGTTACCCTTCCAGCTCGGTTATAGTAGACATAGAAAGCAGACCAACATACTCGAAAAGACAGAAACAAACAAAGGACTACCCAGCACCGCGGGAAAAAGAGGCATAACAAGAGAGCAACAACATCACTATCTGATGTCTGACATGTAGCACAGTGACTAGTGCGACGTACGCTTTAATAGACGACCAAGAACGGCTTGGCCTCGGTATATCTCATTATCCATGGGTTTCATCAAGGGAAAATGCTCCGGACGGCTTAGGAGTTCATGGGCCAAATGTGGGATGCTGTGTTATTCATCAATCATCAGAGTCCGAGAAAGGATTATGTTCCGACCAAATGGAGTGAATCAGATATCCGGGTGATCCAAGGTCAAAACGTTGGCTTCCGGAAGGAGCCATCCCTGGAAATAGCCTATCAAGGAGCAAATGAAGATGTACCACAGGTCATGGGACATGATGGTTTCCAGTATGGTCTGATCTGCGGCATAAAAAGGAAAGTGGCCATTGTGTGGAGATATCACATTCAAAAGTGAAAGAGACAGGGCTTGTTCATGGATTGGCGAACTTTACCCGGCGAGTTCGTCGATCCTGAATGCGCTTCTCCGTGTCAACATAAAGACGGTCTAAGTATTCCATGGCACTGGCATCTTTAAGGATCTTTGCCACTTGGGTTCCAGCTGAAATTAGCTGGAGAACATTTCGATCATCCTTGATGGGTCTGGACTGATGCTTGGCAGCATGCCTCATTTCCAGGGAATTCTCCAGCACCGTGACTAATTGTTTGATTTGGCCATTATACAAAACCCGGGCGGGAATGCGGCGCTTGGTGGCCAGTCTCTTAAGGAGATATACCCACTCAGTCCATTCACGGTCTGAGGGAACCCTCACCTGTCTTTTGTCCGGTTCCAGTGGAATCGGAAATTGATACTTTGCAACAAAGTCAAAAGCACATTGCGACAGCCGGTCATTCACTGCGCTCAAGATTCGATCTTGCTCTGAAACATCAAGATTAGTAGGGAGATGAGGAAGATCCCTTCCTTGAGCCGCTATAATACGCGGAGAGGGGACATCTAGTAACTGATGGGGTCCATCAAATTCGTCCCGGTTGGACGGTCGTCTCTGTGAATGGTAACGGACAGTGCCCTTGGTCTTTTCAGAATTACGTCGGCCATGCCTTTCAACCAGGTATTCCGGATTCTCTGCTGGCTTAACAAAGTTGTAATCGCGCCTAAGCGATTCCGGAGGCAGGTGAGCGGGGTGTTCCCACTCTCGCGAAAGAATTGGACGCGGCAAAGGCCCCACGGGTGAGACAGTTATCCCAGAGGCGTGTGAAGCCACCGGAAGACCGCTGTATGGCATAGGAAACTCAAATTCCGGCGATACTTGCTTCGGCGGCCTTGCGGTGGCAGATTGAGTGTCTAGAGGACCACAATCACGATGCGGGGGAGAAAATCGTTTGGCGCTAGATAAGTTTACCTCAGCACGATACCCTCTCTTCCCAATGGGAAGTGAAGCGACACAGCATGATTAGATAGATACCTTGGATGGGGATGATAAACCAACGGAGGCTCGCTAGCAGTCCCGTAGATTGGTGGTTGTTGATGCATGATGGCACTGCAGATGGTGAGCTTCTTTCAAAAACCTTAGGCCACAGGGAAGGTAGAGACAAGGGGATTCGCCAGTTAGCGCTGACCTGTGACGGGACCAGGAATCGGATTCACTGCTAATGGAGTGCGTGCAGGAGCCACTACCTGACGTCCCGGAAAAATAACTGAAGGCTGAGGACATTGCTATTACTGTAACTGATAGCACCGGCGCATGAGGTTGTATTTGAGTACAGGAATTGGCAAAGAGACCAAAAAGACAGGGCTAGTCGGATATTCTTAGGGCTGCCGAGTTGCTAAACAAAGATTTGTTTTCGAGCAATGTCTCACTGCAAAGCTAGGGAGCTCTGGTGTTTAATATAGACATCTAGGTAAGCAAAGGCAAGGATATGGGCCCAATCGTTGTGGACCGAGGCGAGCTTTTGCTTCTTCCGTCCCACGATATCTCAGATAAAGATAGGCATGGTATGAAGAACACCACGCTGCAACGGCCAAGGGACACTTACAAAGGGGACTCCGTTCCTGTCTAGAACAAGACTTGCGGAGAAGACCAATATACAACAGGGTCAGATCGCCAATCAAATCCCCTCAACACCAGGCCCCATTTGACAAGGTTTACAGAGAGAGATCAGAAAAGGGGCGTAAATAACGACTGGATGAGGATAGATAACAGTCATCGCAGAAGCGCGAGGTATGGGCCAGGCAGGTGCCTGACCCAGCTCCCTTGCCCGTCTTTTGTCTCACGTTCAATCAGGTGCTTCCTTGCACTGCCCTTGGGGGGATACATCTCTTGTGGGATCAGCCCGGAAAGGCTGGAAAGCACCCATCAGGAGCAGATTCCGGTCAACGTTCGGGTGCTGATCCTACCTCGAAAGGACATTGGGATCATAGGACATCGAGATGGAAGAGGGGAGCCGACGACAGATACCCGCCTGCGCTGAGTTTTGGGCAGCAATATCAGGATTGCGCAGGGCGCATGCATCCACTAGGCAGAGTGACATGTTGTCTCAGGGCTTGGCTCCATCGGAGATCATTCAGCAATTATATCGCAGGAAGCTCGCGGTTAGAGTTTCTTTCCAGCACTGAGTGGGTTATCCCCACACAGATCCCGGGTGGAGTATGGCTGCGAGAAAGATGGGATCCAGTCGGAATCTGGTCGTTGGGTGTCAAGTCGAACACTTCTTTCAAGCCAGGAGCGCTGGTTGGTCCCGTTCGGGTTAAGGGGCTCCTGCCTGAGCCCTCAGGACGCAGCCAAGCAGGTGCTACGGGAAATCCATCCTTCTTCAAGTCCCGCCTTCATAACAAAACGATTCTCTCCATTGCCCCGGATTGGTCTTTGCTTTCGCCATCGAAGCAACTGCCGCTGCACTTATGTACCGGTGCTGACTCCATCGCCTATAGCTTGCGCTGATCACTGACGGATCCGTCGACGGGAGTACTAAAACGATGGGGGCCACCTAAGTCCGACGGCCCATAGTGCCTACCATTATAGTGGTACTTGGATTGAACAACATCGGTGGATCTGAGAAGCGCCAGGTTCCAACAGATGGCGGCCCGAAATTGGGATTCCACGGTGGAGCACGCGAATCTTTGCCATCCCCATTGGGATCCTGATGCTTCTTGACACAAGTTGGGCATACACCTGGCTGCGGGTTTTGTTGCCCAAGCTGCGGGCCAGTCCTCGTCATATGTGCCTGTGGATTGCGGGGTGATTCAATCTGGCGACCAGGAAAGGCCGAGAACAATTCAATTATTGGGTCCCTACTTCAGCTCTCGGCCAAGTAATGGATACGAAGTTTTGCAAAAGTCTATCCGGTTCTATTCGGAACAATCGCTTCTCGGGGTTCGACCGTTCTATCATTCCTGTTGGTGATGATGGCGATAAATGGGCCATTTGGATAGACAAACAAGGATTACGCTAGGTTAGAGAAGCAAAAGGAAAAATAAAAATAAAAAGGAATATCAGAGGCTAGTCCTATGCGGCGCATACCGGGAGATACCGCGTACGGAGACATTGTTTGCAGCCCAACAAATTGTCCAGAAAGACTTGGAACCTGTAAATGATTTGTGGAGTACAATGGCTAATGTTTTCTGTCACGTCAGAGCAACACGTACTCGCCTCTTCATTGATCGGAGGGTTACACTGTCAATGCAGTAACTCTTGGCTAGGATGCACACGAAGATCATTCACCCTTCCTACATGCCTGCTGCATTGGTGATTCGATCCCCATACGTCGAGCATAATCCTAGATATCCGAGTAAATAAGGACACGAGAACTCTCTGGATAGACATGATTGTCTACTTACCTCACAGCTGAGCCGAACACCCGTTTCGATCCCGACTTTGGGTAGGTACCCTAGTATCAGCTTTGCTTTCTCGCCACTAGCATAACGAACAGAGCATGCATCCCGAACACTGCCGCGGCTCAAGGTAGTGGTTGTTCCAAAGACCCATGTCAAGAATTCACAGATCAAGCCAACAAGATAAGCCAGTGCCTTGGGGATGTGAATCTCAAATGGGGGTGTGTGGCCAAAATGGGCCCATATGGCAAGGCAAAAGTCCCTAAAGGTGATGGGTTCATTATTTTGAATAAAGAAGACTTCACTGGCTGCAGTCTTTGAAGACATCAAATTCTCAGCAGCCAGGACATGGGCATCGGCAACATTGGTGACATATGTCACATCCCACAGATTCTGGCCATCGCCGACGATGAACGGGGTTTCGCCCTTGGATATACACGCATGTATTGCAGGGACTAACCGGTCGTCTCCCGGTCCGCATAGCACAGAAGGTCGGAGAGAACATGTGGCCATTGTGTCGCTTGATTCATTGAGAACCATAGCTTCTGCAGCAGCCTAACTGCGAGGACATGTATCAGCGTATTAGAGACTACAGTGTTGAATTGCATCACATATATCAAGCGGGATATCAACCTTTGACTCGCCATAGATGAGTGAGGAGGAGGGTATAGGCCATTGTTCATCGATGTTGTGGTACGGTACGTCCATTTGATCCGTCACCACACAGCAAGAACTGGTGTAAATAAAGCCCTTCACTCCACTCTGTTTAGCGGCCTGCAAGATATGCTCTGTTCCTCCAACATTAGTCTTCCAAACAAGCCCTTCAAGCCTTCTTCCAAATCGTTCACTCAGGGCTGGGACAATTCCGGCCGCGTGGATAATAACATCCGGTCTGGCTTGCTCTATTGCCTTGCTGACCTCCTCCTGTATAGTAACGTCAACCTTGATATATTCAATACCATCTGGTACAGTATGGACCGGTCCAGGTGGCTTGATATCTATGATGGTGATGGCACACTCGGGATGTTTCTCTGCAAGAGCTCTGGCGATGGCCGCACCGACAAAACCGGTGCCACCTGATATCAGGACTTTTTTCATCGTGCACATCTTACCATGCTACATTTGGAGATCTGGATTGATGTGGGAAGACATGAGTGTTTTGAATATATCAGCAATGAAGCCTTTGTAACCAGCAAAAGTATAGGTTAGATTGTGGGAGTGTTGTTTCTTTTGTCCTCCGCAAGAATTCCGTTTCTGGCTAGCCCTTCCCCTAAAACGTCACCTGGTATATAGATCCATGGATGTACCTCCCAGCTGTAGGTACCATAGAGCCACCGCCTCCATCGAAAGCTCTGAATTCTTCATGACTTATTCTCCTATTATTTGATCTAGTCAGTCCCATCCAATTCCAAGCCATGTACACAACGCTGTATAATAGTAGTAAACGGCCCAAAAACGGGTATGTCATGGACAGAAGCACAAATAAAGGAAAGTAAGTAATACATGAAGTCGATCCTATGTTACTGTACAAGGTATCCATCCCAACTGTCGCAAACATAAAAAGAAGAAGATACAAATCATGGGCGGAGGCATTGCGACTGGCCAAACTCCGGTTTAAATGCAAAACCCGCAGCATCCAACATATATGAAAGAAACGCTCTATCTTGTTCTGCCTTTTGACATCCATCTCAATTATTTAGAGCACCCGGCAAAGGACCAGGCCTCCCACCTGCTTCTCGACACACTCTCGCGCTTCCATGATACCGCGGTCCGTCGACAAATATAAACTTTCACCGGGGGACCGCAAACCTTCTACATATCCACTCTTTTCTCCGCGAATCACTTCTCGAAGGCCTGCAACATCGATCGTGACCCTTCTCTTGGGCTTGCTAACCACGCTCATCTTGCCGAGGACGGGATCGCTCTGCCAGTACTTGAGCCCGAGCCAAAGACGCCTTGAGGCGACATTGCTTTGAGTCAACGATTGTACACCTTCGACTTCATCATTTACCGAGGGAACACCCAGAAGAGTATGTTGAGGAGGGGGAGTAGGGCCTCCGCGGACGACCGAAGAGATGTAGCCAGAGTTCTGGAGAGCAAGGCACAGTTTCAGGTGTAGCTTCGTGTTCGGGATGGATGTGAGACCCAAACGGGCCTTGGTGGCGTTGTTTAGATGGGAGCAAACGTGGGCGAGATTGACAAGAGACATTTTGGATCGTAGATTGCCGAAATTGGCCCAATTGAAGGGACCCCTTGAATGTTCCGACGGTGTGCGGGAGAGCCAATAAATCACTGGGTACGGGGGAGCGTAGGTATGAGCACTACTTTTCCATTGTGAGATAGGGAAGAGGACAGATACACCTACCGAAGACTAAACCCCTTGGGAAGAACGACTCTCAGGGAATGACAGCAAGAAAGCTCCCCGTTTCAAGTGTAAGATCTCCGTAATCAACGATGATGGGCCGTGAAGTTGCGATGATGCGGAAGCTCAAATGAAATTTTCGGAGAAACGATATGACGGCTCCGACGGGGTGTTCCTATAGGCCGCCAGCCCAGTAGGGCATCAACTAATCACGGCGCCAGGATGCATCTCGAAGCGCCCTCTAGCCGCCGGCCTCTTGGACACTACAACTTATTCCCCCTCATTGAATCGTTCCATATATAATGTTGTCCCCAAGTTCTCTATCGCGTACTTCTACGCATGTCTATTCACCTCCCCCTTCAAATATACCCCCACCCCTCGCCCCCATCGCAACTACTCTTTTTTATACTACACTACTCTGTACTATACTATACTGATAAGCCATCATGCCCCCGTTGCCGGGTGAAGAGCGTGCGCTGACGGTGTAAGTCGTACACTGCCCCCGCAAGATCCCCCTCTCTTTCAAATGCGATAAGCTAGTCTAACCCTCTCATAGCTTTGCCGATATTCATTATTATTTCACAACTCCGACTCCCAAGCCTCTCCATCATCGATTTGATAAGGGCTCCTATCTGTATCTTTATCACAATGTGGTGCAGCGCAAGACGAGAATTGAAGTAGCGAATAATCCTGGAACTCGTGACCAAGATGCATTCAATGGCGGTTGGTGCCCTTTTCACCCATCCTCCGCATAGAGTGACTCTCCTCGCTGACTGATGTCCAGCTCTGGATCAGGTCTATTTACGCCATTCCGCCCAGTTTCCAACGCTGTGTACTTTAACCGTGGATGGCCGTCCGCCATCACAGGGCGCGCAGGCGTTCCCTCCACCACCGAATGCCAGTCCTCATGAATGGTTATTACCAAGCACTGATCCGCGTGATGAGGACAAGGAACTACGCTTGCACACGCTGGACATCTATTTCTGGACCTCAGATGATGCGGATAATTTCCTCAACCTGATGGAAAGATATCTGTCTCCCTCACAGATCGAGACAGACAGGCATCCCTATCCGCCTCCACAGGCTTCAGTCAGTACGGTTGTACAACAACTAGAAAACGTGGCCATCACAGATCCAGCGTACCAGAACGGGCAGACTCGTAACTCTCAATCAGAACCTACACCCAACTCCCCACCCCCTGCCCAGACGTTCTCAATACCAAGCAATCTTCCTCCTCCACCCCCGATTGGGGGTCCGCCCGCCACAGCACAGAAGACGGTCAATGGCACTACCCCTGCTGCAGAGGAACGAAATGACCCTGCCCAATTTACACCTCTACCATATAATCCTGCGGCACCAGCCGCACCTGAACCAATTCAACATCGGGAGAAGACCCCCCCTCCGATTGACGGCGGAGATGGAACCGGACTCGCAGCGGCCGCAGCAGCAGATAGCGGAGCACCGTTCACACCACCGTCCCAGATCACCGGCGGAGGAGGCTTTGCACCTCCCCCAAACAGTCAAGGGCCCCCATACACTATGCCTGGAAGCTACGCATCACCGCCACCGAGTGCTGGCCTAACACACTCCGGGTCGTTCTCGTCTCGATCATCTATTCAGAGTCCACCCAGCGTCCCATCCTATACGCCATCATTCCTTGCCGGAGGAGCCGGGGGTCACCAGCCCAATCCCCACCAGCCAGTGGCCATGTCATTTGCTCCGCCTCCCAAGGATCCCAATGCTCATCTATATGGTCAGACCCAGAATATATATGGTGGCCAGCCTCAGATCCAACCGGCGTCTCCAGCGCCACCCCCAATTGGCGGCTACTCAAACTACTCGTATGATAAGGCAGCCGTGCAGCAACCAGTGTCAAATGACTACGACATCCACAGGCAGCTGTACCGGCCCACTGAAGCAGAGGTCAATTCACATTCCCAGAAAATAGCTCAGAAGTCAATACAAAACTCCGGCCGGCCCCGAAATTTGGAGGAAAGAGCCCACCGAGTGGAGAGTAGTGTTAATAGGTTCTTGAAGAAGTTGGAGAAAAAAATTTGATACACGGAGATCAAACTTTCTGGAGTCCGTCACTCCGAAGTGCAGTATTGCTGTTGTTGCCCCTGTACACGAAACGACTATAGCACTTGCTTTTCGAAATTTCACATGGTGTTAGTAGTCTTGGGGTATGGTATCAGATTTTATCTAGAGCAATTCCCTGGATTTGTTCAGAGGTTTTGAATCGGATTCCGAGCTATTGAAAAACGGAGTTTTGTTCTCATGCTACCCAGAATAGTAGATGCTGAGCAAAATCTCAAAAAAAGGGGGGGAGAACATAAAAGAACAAAGCCCACAGCTCCAACAGTGATGCAAAACTGCGGAGTAAACTTGCACTGTCAAAGTTCAAGCAATAATATAAAGGATTAAACAACTGGAAGACCCAGGAGAAATATAATAACAGGAGAATCGAAGAAGGTAAAAAAAGGCTTGAGAAGAGAAAAGGTAAATAGACGAATAAAAGTGAAACGGGCGGAAAAGAAACAAGAACCTGATTAGACTCCTCCCAAGTACATATGCAAGTGGGATAATATGCGGCCCCTAACGCTAAAAGCAACTGGAATCTAGAACTCCACCAGAAAATGCTCCGACATGCATACATCGTCGGCCCTGCTCATATTGTGAATGAGATGCTTTCAAAACCAAAACCAAAAAAAGTAAACCAAAGAAGAGCAAAAAAGGTCCGCGCAGACGATAACATGTATCTGGTCGCATCACGAATAAGACGGGTATGAAGAAATTATAAGTCACAAGAAGCGAAGTATGGATGTAAATATAGACATTCATGTAACACCATGATTGTCTTGGCTGTGCTCGCTCTTCAGTTGAGAGATAAGTTGCCAAGGTCAACATCAACGTCGTCTACCTTGACCTCTGACTTAGCAACGTCCTCAACAAGCATCTCTTCAGCAGAAGTAGCTGGAGACTCAACATCAACCTGTTCCTTGGTCTCTTCAGTATTCGAAAGCCCAGAGGGTTCAACGCCGTGGGCATCTGCCGCCTCGTCGGCAGAGATGGAGAGCTCTTCGGTTGATGGAGCGGCGAGAGTCTGTTCTTCGGAGGCCTCTGCGGCTTTGGTGGGTTGCTCGGGATCAGAGGGTCCAACTGGTGCGTTTTCAGAAGCCATAGAGGGCTCGATAGGCAAATCCTCCGACTGCTTCTCAGTTGTGGGTTCCTTCTCGATTGCTTCAGCTGACGCATCAATAACCGCTTGAACAGGCTCGTCCGCAGCCTTGGCATGATGCTCAGTAGCATTCACACGTGCACTATCCTCCTGTGGATCAACTGCCTTGGGCTGTGGTTCTTCTTTCTGAGTAGGCACCGGCTGCGGCTTCTCCTGTGGTTTCTTAGCCACACTCTTCTCCTTCATTGGGCGCGAGTTGTGGGCTTCTGTCTTCGAAGCAACTGGTCGTACTGGAGCCCGGGTCACCCGGGAAGGCCGGGGTGGACTCTTCATTTCAACCTTCTCATGAGTTTTGTTGGCAGAACTAGCGGTGGGGCGCATCATTCTAGCGAGAAATCCCTCGTCAACCGCCCTAGAACTGGTGTTGCTCACTCGGGAATGCGGGCGGTCATGTGCTGGTTGACGCGGGAGGGAAGGTTGAGATGCCTGCTTGCGAACGCTGGAGGCAGTAGTCGTGCGGTGGATTCCACCTGTCGCGTTCTTCAAACTTGACGGCTTTCGGGACAGGCTAGAGGTAGTTGTTCCAGTAGCTCCTCCTCTAGCGGCTGATGATAGATTTGATGTCGTTGCCGAAGTGGGCAGACGAGCCGACTTGGTTGGCGGTCTTGGTTCAGGCTTGTTAGTGCGGGATGCACTTGTCGCTGTCGGCTTGGTAGCCTCGCGTGCCGGCATGGAAGAGCGAACAGGTCGCGTAGCAGTCTTGGCTGTCGTGTTCAAAGACGAACGGCTTGTCTTGGTGACTGGAGCTTTGGGCGCGTCCCTGGTGGCAGGAGGTCTGGGGGAGCGTGCTGGCTTAGAGGCCTTGGCATGGTCGGGCTTGGCAGGAGATGTTGGAGTTCGCGGATGCGCGGCAGACTTCAGGGTCGTAGATGTCGACTTGGACGCAGACCGGTTGGGTGAAACTTTATCCACCTGGATGGTGGACGGACGCTTAGTGACTGTCTGCGTCTTCTTCGGGGATGGCGCAGCAGAGACGGTCGAGATGGGGTCGCTTCGTTTATGAGGGGACGCTGCTTCCTTGGCCTGAGGCCTTACACCCTTTTCGGGAGAGGCCACTTGTGTGATCACTGTTTCCACCATGTCGCCTGACCTGGTCTCATTCGGGGTTTGCTCGCTATCTAAGCCATTGCTGATTGGGGACGACAAGGGACTCTTCAAGGGGGCGTTCAGATCATCTGAATTGAAACTCCTCACCCTCGACGGGGGAGCAGCTGGGCTGTCACTGCGACTACTTGCGCTTCTCAACCCGGCAATGGCGCCAGATTGAGTGGCTCCATCAACAGCTATGAAGCTGGCACGCACTTTCGATAGAGGCCTAGAACCCGAGTGCTCAGAACCGACGGGAGATCGACCGCGGGAAGGTGGGGACGTGGTATTCTGGTTGCTGCTGTTGTTGTTGTTTTCGAACCTGGCGAGCAAGCTCCTCACACCCGGATGAGCGCCCGTATCCTGCATGGCGTCTAGTCAGGATGCTAAGGGGTCAAGGAGGCAAGGGGGTTGAAGCGTGACAATGCTCGAAGTGAACGGAATCAATGTAGTGGACTGTTGGCGCGAGCTTGGGTGGTGAACGACCGGAGGGAGAGTCTTGCTAGGATATCCGAGCAGAAAAACGGCCAGCACACGATAGAACGCGCTTCTCGGGTGGTGACGTGATGGGTATAAACAGAGCCAACAGTTCGAGTGGAGAACGAATCAGCAATCTAGCGAGACAACGTGGACGTCAAGCATAATGGAATATCAATGAGAGAATGATGAGTCCGACATGAAAATTCGCGTTGAGAAGGTAGAAAAGGACTGAAATTACCAGACGGTACGAAAGGGAAAGGAGAGAAAGAGAAAGGGAGAGGAAGAGGAGGAGGGGAGAAGAAGAGAAGAAGAGAGGGAAATGAAGAGTGGCCCAGCAACGCGGATGTGGAGGGACACGCCCTGCAAGCCTGAGGCAGCGGTTTCAGGGGCAGCGGATCCGCCTCAGTTTAATGATTTCCCTTCGTCACGAATGTTCCTGCGAATTACTCCTTTCGACTAATTGTGGACTCATAGTTTCATCGTTTGACCCACTCCTTGTCACAGGCTTCCTTTCCTCTTCATTGCTCCAGGCCAATATATTGACGGAGTCCCTTGCCGGTCTTTTTACGTTCGATAATCCCGCCGCGGCAACGGGCGTGCCCCATCGATGGCATCTCCTGCAATGTTCTCTCTCTCCTGAGAGGCCAGATTGCAGGTTTGGTCAGGATGGATGAATAATACGTGCCTGGGGCTAGAGGCCTTGTGTTGCCTATTTCTTTCTAGACGATGGATGGTTGCATTGCACTACTCTGTACTACTTGTATTAGTTTGTGCCTTGCTGTGAAGGATTAATAATAATAATAATAATAATAATACTACGTACTATTATTAACTAACTAACGATTCTCGAGGTTTTTATGAGTCATTGATCTGTATTCGAACTCTCCTCCCATGTTCTTTCAGGAGTCAATTCTATGGCCAAGACTTGAGTCCACTATTTTATGCCTGTTTATATCTCCGCATGTACAGACATATATGTACGATCTAATGTACTCCGAGTGCATATCAATGAATGCTTTTTACACAATGAAGACATGCTTCGGGCAAGGCAAAGAGGAATGAGCATAATATTAGTCCATCAACATCTGAGCATGAATTGGTCTGAATTTCTCTTCAATGCTGGCCTCCAGTATAAAATGATGAGCTTTGTTTACTTCTGCTTGAAGCTATCCCCCCGGATTAATAGTCCTCCCGCCTCCGTATCCCAATGACCTTCACTCCGATTACGGCTCTCCGTTGACCGGACGTTGACTCAACCCAGTATCCCCCCCAAAATCCCAAAATTTGCACCATGGCTGCTGCTCGGACGCTTCGCATAGGTCAATTGATCCTCTTCTCATATGTAGTACATTGTGTGTGTGTGCGAACTTCAACTAATACATCATCCTTTAGGTCTCATCCCCGGTGACGGTATCGGACGGGAGGTCATTCCGGTATATACTCACACACGGCTTGACGGCTCTTTGCTGAAAAGGTGATTGGAAGTTCTAACAGCCACCATGATATAGGCCGGTAGGAAAGTGTTGGAATCTCTTCCAGCTTCTCTCAACCTCAATTTCAGCTTCGTCAACCTGGACGCTGGTTTCGATACCTTCAAGCAAACCGGTACTGCCCTGCCCGACAAGACTGTCGAGACCTTGAAGAAGGAGTGTGATGGTGCTTTGTTCGGAGCTGTCAGGTAAATACGCTGCTTCTCACCAGAGTGTTTCGTATCTTACCAAATAACTCGCCCCATAGCTCCCCGAGCACCAAGGTCGCCGGCTACTCGTCGCCTATTGTCGCTCTCCGTAAGAAGCTGGACCTCTATGCCAACGTCCGGCCAGTCAAGACTACCGTCGGCGGTGGCCGGAACCCTGTCGATCTGGTCATTGTCCGCGAGAACACCGAGGATCTGTACGTGAAGGAGGAGCAGACTAAGGACACCCCCAACGGTAGGGTTGCCGAAGCTATCAAGCGGATCTCCGAGAATGCCTCGCACCGGATTTCCACCATTGCAGGAGAGATCGCCCTGCGCCGGCAGAAGATCCGTGACGCGGCTCCCACTGCAGGCCTGCGCACGAAGCCCATGGTGACCATCACCCACAAGTCGAACGTGCTGTCGCAAACCGACGGCCTCTTCCGTGAGACTGCCCGCAAGGCTCTTGCCGCCGAGCGCTTCTCCTCCGTGGAGGTGGAGGAGCAGATTGTTGACTCGATGGTGTACAAGCTTTTCCGCCAGCCTGAGTACTACGACGTCATTGTTGCCCCTAATCTCTACGGTGACATCTTGTCCGACGGTGCGGCTGCCCTGGTCGGAAGCTTGGGTCTTGTCCCCAGCGCCAACGTTGGTGACGGCTTTGCTATTGGTGAGCCCTGCCACGGCAGTGCGCCCGACATTGAGGGCCAGGGAATTGCCAACCCTATCGCCACCCTGCGTAGTGTAGCCCTCATGCTGGAGTTCTTGGGCGAGGAGAGTGCTGCTGCCAAGATCTACACTGCTGTTGATGCCAACCTGGACGAGGGCAAGTACCTTTCCCCTGACATGGGTGGAAAGGCCACGACCCAGGAGGTCCTTGATGATGTGCTGAAGAGGCTGTAGATGGACGTTCTTTGATGTATTTCTGAACTAAGGGCACGTGTATAGGTATGTGGCATAGATAAAAAACAAATTATATTGCTTTGGTATTCTATCACTCAACAAAACATAATATACGTATCTATACGTCTATGTTGTATGACATGTTTACTCCACATCATCCGCCGACGGCTCTGGCTCCCATTCAAACCTGCCCAATTTCCCGTCATTCTTCTCATGCTGCTGCTTACTCTCCCTCCTCATTCTCTCCGCCTCCTCCTTATGCAACGGTTCCTCGTCCGTTCCCTGCAAAACAAGCGTAAAGAGCACGACAAGGTAAACCTCATCGGTATCCCGATGCTTCAACACATACCGCAGCGAATGATTATCCTCATTGATATAAGGAAGAACATTGATAGTAATGCCCGGAAGGTGAAGTGAGAAATCTACCACGACCAAATCAGCAACTTCGACTGTGCACAGAAAAAGCAAGAATAGAATTATACATAAATATAAAAAAAAGAGAGGGACACGAACCATTAAACCCTAAGTAGGGGTTCCCAAAATCCACCCAGTAAACCCTTCCTTCTTCAAACTCGAACCCCGTCCTCGCCTCTTCCGACTGAAAATACTTTCTCCGTTCGTTCACACTCGTCGGAACTCCCATTTGCTTTCTGACCTCCAGTCCGGACCCCTCGCCCCCTTCTTCAACGACTCGCTCATGCATCCCCGGCACCTCGTCGTCCTTTCTAACCCTTTCCCCGATACAGAGCTGGTTCCACGAAGCCACGGCCGGGCTATACAGGTACGGTTTGTCGGCGTACGCATCGCCGTCCAGGGACGGATCGATTGTCCATTTGACGAGGCGAAGAGCGGCGTTGAAGCCGGGCGGCAAGCGGTCGCGAATGGGACGGTCGAAGTCGTTGCCGAAGAGGAGGGAGTTGGCGTTGACGGGGTGTTTGAAGACGATGGCGAAGGAGATGGAATATTGGTCCGACTGGTGGAGGGGATGGTTGAAGTAAGGGCTTGTTCTTGGGGAGTGGTCCGGATATCCTTTTACAGTGGTTTGAATTAGCCTGGGTTTTCTTCATCATCTTCTCCTTTGCCAGAGCTGTTGTTACCTGTGTAGTCTTGGATGCGGACGCAGAGACTCGTGATTGCGTGCTCGTTTTCGATTCGTAGGGTTTGGTCCTCATTGACTGGGACGAGTTGATGTGTGGAGGGATCGTAGCTGGGCCCGGCTGTCACTTTTAGACGGTACTTTGGGGTCTCGTTTTCTGCCATGGTGTTGACTCTATTGTGGTTCTGTGGTTTGGTTTATCTAGCTGAGTCTGGAGTTGTATAGTTCGGTATTCCAATCCTTTGGTGTCAGTGAGGTGAAAATACTCATATAGATGTATGCGCAGCAGTGGATTACACGGTACTTTCAAATTAAATCGCAATCGTGTAGAGTATTCAGCAAATATACAAGGTCGATGCCAACCGACGTCATCGCTCTGGTAGCCGTGCCGAGCCTTGTTTATCTTTCAAGCCCTAATCTTTAGATCGATAACTTACATATGTACAACCTATGTACAGTAGAGTACAGTAGAGTACAGCGTTCATTTCTCAAGCAACAGAGGACAGTCACTCCGACAACTGGTCCAAGACACTTCAAGTGCGATGCATTAGAACGGACTTGTCGTTCATGGCAAATCCCGCGTTTCATGCGGTCCTCGTCCGAGGTTGACTTTGACAGCTGAGACATACATGAACCACGCAGCCTGCACAATTGTGCAAACCTTGGAGCGTTTTGAATAAGACAATGTTGTCTGTAATATCGAGAAGCCGGTGCAATCACTGTTAGCCATGGCACTTGACAGCCTGGTGAACACTGTGCTACCAAAGACCAAAGCCACGAAGTCGATCCCATCGCGCATGGACTATGACAATCGACCTCTTTTAACCTGCGCTTCTCGTTGATCACCATGAAAGTGGCTTTACAGTTAGTAACCAATTGTGATTCAAGTTTGTTCAAACAGTTATTGCGAGCATTTATCATACAAAGTACGTCCCAGACATTAATAACGCCACGTGGTAGATATGCTACACATTCGACCAATTGAGAGCAATGAGGTGTTTTACACAGAATAGAACAACAGCTAGAGATCCGCGGGATCGGAAGGTAGGGGATTATTGTCGATACCTACGCTCTCAAAAAGCTCGTCTGATGTCAGTATCCCGATACCACTGTCAAGCCGCCGCCGTTCCTTGCCTCGACCGACCTCAACGTCAACGAATCGCGCCACGCTAACAGGAGTAATGGGCTCGCTCCCGATGTTCGTGCCATCCGATTGTAGCTCATCCGACTTGAGTTCCCAATTGGCAGTGCGTACTTTTGCCTTGCGTCGCTCTGCCTTGACGGTTTCCTTCATGTAAGCGTATGACCGTGCCTGGTCTGCAGCCCATTTCTCTAGCAGATCGTCCCTGGCTTCCACTTCAAGACGCAGCTGTTCCTCCAAGCCAGCGTTGCTTCGACGAAGCTTGTCCGCTTCAGATTTGGTAGCGTCCAGATATGTGGTCAGCTCAGCGATGTGGACGTTCATCCTGCCGACCTCTTGCTGGTGATGCTGGAGTTGCTCGACTGCTTGCTGTTCGTGACTGTCAACCGTCTGCTTGAGCTCCTTTTCTAGTGCTTCAATCTTAGCAGCCAAATCACACACACGGATCTTATTCGACTCAACGCTCCCTTCCAGCTCCTGAATACGTGCCTCTCGTTCTGCAATAGCCGACTCTGCTACACGACGGGCGCTTTTTTCTTCTGCCACTCTCTTTTCCTGTCGCAACATCTGTTCCTCGTGTCTGGTGGCAGAGACAGCCTTGTCCTGCTCGAGTTCCGTCACGAGGTTCTCAAGAGTCTTGACCTCTACACGGTATTTGCTAAGGGCTTCGTTCAATCTCTCAATCCCTAGGGCTTGTTCTTTCCCTTCACGCTCAAGTTCCTGCATCCGCATTCTCGTGTGGAGCATATCTCCTGCGGAAGATGCAATAGATTCTTCAAGATCGCTTATTTTCGTTGAAGCGGTCTCATAGCGGATCAACAGGTTATCGAATTGGCCGCGCAATGCCCGCTCCCGCCCAAGAGATCCTTCATGCCGGGTGCGCTCGTCACTCAGGCTTTTAACGAGCAGCTCGACACGCCTCACAAGGGCGCTGAGGGTTGTATTTCCATTATCTAAGCTAGAGCTGGGCGTTTCCCCGGGGACTGCGCGCTCCAGCTGTAAGCGTGCTGATCGGAACCGACTACGCATTTCCGAAATAATCTCGTCCATGCTGCTGCCGGGAAACCCTAGACCAGAAAGCTCCTGTTTGACGGCGTCCAATGCACCGATAGCGTCTGAAGCACTGGTGAGAGCTCCTGTTAGTGTAGGCAAAATTTGATCGAAGAAGTCTGGCGGGGGAGACGACCGTTGGAGGTAAGGTTCAGTCGCAGTTTCTGGGAAGGAAGCAAGCCTCGTACGCCATGCGTTGAACAGATCCCGTTTCTCCTTTCTAGCAGCTTCCAAGTCAAGCGACAAAGCAAGAAACTCAGCGCTTTGGTCATGACCAGACAGAGACGTTTGAACTGATACATCCGTTCTGGGGTCCGGGAGGCTCAGGCAAGAGAGATCATCTGGAGATTGTCGAGGAAGCTGTAAGCCACGCATAATTGGAGAATCGGACATGAGAACTGTGTCTCCCTCAAACCCATTCTCAAAGATGATGGTGTCGCCTTCAGTATCAGCGCCATCCGATTGATCATCCGCGTTTTTAATAGCGGAGAACGAGGTATCTTGCCTCAGCTGACTGTTCTGGGACTCTAGGTGCTCCAGCTTAGACCGAGGCGATAACCGGAGAATCTCCTTTCTGGGTGAATGGTATTCTGGAGTGCCGCTGTTGCCTTTTGCTAACTCCAGCTCTTGCTTTAAGGTATCTCTTTCTTGCAGCAGAGCTCGCAGAGACTTCTGGTAATGCGCGGACTCCCGCTTCTCGCGTTCAAATTGGTTAATCTCAGTACTCAGGCCCAATCGCCGGATTCTCCGCTGAGTCCGGGAGTCCAATATTTGCCGTAAAGGCGTAAACTGCACCACTGTCTTCGACTTGGATCCATCAATGGGCTGTACAGACTCCAGCGAACGACGAGACCGCGCAAGTGGGGTTGAGCGGCGCCGCAGCCGGCGACTTGGGGTGCAATCGATGCCATTTGTGGGATCATCGGGTTCTTCGAACGATGTGCGAATCAGTGCCGGAGTGAGGCCTGTAGAGCATCCAGGGCAGTGCCCTTCCAGCCGCGGACCGGGATCTGAGAAGCGAACTCTTTTAGTTTGTTGGCGTGGGGTTTCGCAAGATGGGACCGGAGCAGCTCCCCCAGACACACGAGGGCTCCTGCATGAGGTAGAAGTGCGGGGCTCTGAATTAGAGATCGAACTGATACTTCTTTTTCTCCGCGTTTGTCTGGTGTTCATAGTGGTGTCTTGTTTGCACTAGTTTCTTGTGTGTATGTATATATATAGGTAAGTACGGGAATTGGAGCGATTATATAAATACTTGGCCAGCGCGAGTGTCTTAATGGGAGAGATTTTGTAATTGGATGGTGCCGGTGCCGGTGCCCCAGGAGATGTGAATCAATAACAAACAATCGATGCTTTCAACTACTGCGAGCCTCAAGTAAGGAAGCAACTTATTCGTGCCTTCCGCACATCCATACGCGTTGATGGATCCATTCTCATTTCCCAATCGGGAAGACGTAAACAATTCTGGCATCAGGTGACCGAATTCTGCCTGAGGTTGACATTCCTGTCCGATCGTGTTCTAACTGATATGATGACACCTGTTGTGTATCAAACTTGTGAAAACTATTATTACGATGAGGAAAGTGGAAGCAATCTTCTCGTAATGCATTGTTGACTTGTATAGTGAATCCAGTACATAGCTCTACTCCTACTAGTACATAGTATGAATGTAGATACATACAGTACTGTATGTATTTTAAGTGTACGTATTTTATTTCCCCTCATGTCATGCTGTTCACCAGTGATGTCATCCGTCCGACCAGCAAAGCAACTGGATTGATGTCGATCCTTTTTGCCTTGGCTTTCATACTCCTCCTACTCTCCCTCTGTCAACTTTCCCCCTTGATAGCTGACTTGCCTTTCATGATCAGCAACTTTGGATCAGCCCGATTCGTACCTAGTACTTGACTTTGCCCGTTACAAACGTTCTTGTTTCTCCATCCGAGAGAGCCCTCCCCATGGCTGTTCCTCCCTCATGGATTTGAAATCCAGGACTAGCCTAGCCGTGGAGAAGATGTGCCACACGCCCACAGTACAAGAGATCGACGACGATGAAGTCTTGCCTGACATGCGGAAGAACACCAATACCGCCCTGAACATAGAATCGCCCTTGTTACAGCTCCCGACCGAACTTTTACATTCTGTTCTATCTTATCTTTCGGCACAAGACCTCGCTCGACTGTCGGCCACTTGTCGCTGCTTGACTGAGCACACAGCTAACGATCTGCTGTGGGCCAACGTGGTCAACTCATACTTACCAGAGAAAGTTCACGATCCGGGTCCATTTGACTCCTTTCGCAGCCTCTATATTGCGTACCATCCGTGCTGGTTCATCCCCCAGAAAAAGATCTGGTTTTCAGATACTGAGCACACGGGCAATCTAATTCTGGCCCGTTATGATCACCGTCGAGGCGTTATAGAAGCGTATCGGGTTATTGCAGAACGTCGTTCGCCTTCGCACAAGTTCCAGATCTGGGAATGGAATCCAGAAGTTATCATTCAAACCTTCCATCCGAAACCTAGCCTTTGGCTAGACAGCCCTATTTTACTCTTGAGGAACCACGATGCTGAACGGCAGTATCTGCGCGGAGAGATCCGCATGCCCTTGCCGTTGGAATCACAGCAGGTCTTTAATTCCTTGTCTTTTTGCCCCAAGGGACCTCCTCCGGATCCTGACCCATATAAGCAATGGCCGCCACCCATTGTACCCAGTCAAAATCGCGTATATCGGAGCCCCGAATCGCACGGTTCAGAATGGGAGCGTAATCCTGGAGTCCTGGAATTAATGTCGGAAAATGCGTTTCGGATTAGAAGATGGGCGCATTTTCGTCTGGGTATGCCGATGTTTGCCGCTGGCCGAAGCGAGACCTTATCGACCTACGCGACACTTGATCCGCATCTATATACGCCTACCAGGCAAAAACCCTACCAGGGTATATGGATTGGAGACTACTCTGCTCACGGATGTGAATTTATACTCTTCTTACAACGTGACAGCGAAGATGGGCCTGACGATACGCCCGAGGAGGGCGAGTCTGAGTTCCTTCACGATGGCATTATCCAGAAGGGTAGCCTTGAGGCTATCAAACTAACCGGAGACCCCAATGTCCCTCGAGGCGAGCTCTCATTTATATCGGATGATATTGGACCTAAGGGTTTTGTCCGTGTTGCGGATGAATCGCTTTTCCGAGGGGCGAGGATTGTGCGTAGTCGAGGACATGTCGCAGGTCTCGGGTTTAGAGACGGTAAGCTGAATCGAATTGCCTGCCCTGTTGTAGCGTGTTCTGACTCGATACTTAGATACATTCATCGCCTCGCAACTTATTCTCATCTCGCCTGATTGTATAGCTCACTATTGGGAGACCATGGGACATATCTCGTATTTCCGCCGCCTCGACATGGACGAACTTATTCGAATATGAGCGGATGTGTGGTTAATTCTGACGACGTTACGATTCGTGCCTACTACTTGCTCCCCTCCATGAGAGATAATGCTTCAAATATATTTATGGCAGTTGTGTACGCACTGCACTGTCCAGATGACATAAAACTATGGGTGGTGCGTCAAACACCCCTCGATGGGCACGTATTAGGCCAACCCTGATGACTTGAGTGAGCATCCGGTTCATTAAGGCGGCTTCCGAATCATACTGGAGCCCGTGCACCGGAGACCAACCAGGGATGGCAAGTTTGAAGAAGTGTGATTGGAACCAGGAAGGATCCTTGGCGCATCCAATCCACCCCCTGCGACACTATCTTGCTACTCAGTATCGCCCGCTAGACTCGCACCAGCTGTACCAAAGCTGCCCGAGCCTGTAGACCAAACGTACACATGCCAGAAAGGTAGGAAAGAAAGCATATCATTCCCCTAAATAGCGCAAGGAGACATGGCAACTTGAAGCACCGGGGCCGGCAATCTTATGTACAAGCGAGTATACTCGGGAGAGTAGACCGGGGATCCATGTAAAGCGAATATAATGCCAAGCTGAAACCAAGATATACAGTCAAGGTGAGAGTTCCGAACGCCACGGTCCCCCATACCGGACCTGATAAAGGACAAGGTAATCATCAATCATAATCCATACCGCTATGCAGGACCCCCAAATTTCAGTCACGATGGCTCTCTTGATATTTTATTTTAACAAGACACGCACACTCTCGACACGATGTTCCAAGCGGGTAACAATGGATGTCCTCCTGTCCTTGACGAACTCTTCCCAAGCTGAGATAGGGAAAAACCTAGGGCGCACCTCCGGCATCAATTCAATCTCCACCCGAAGTGTCACCCCGATTTATCCGGATAATCCGGAGTAGATAATTCACCGCTTGCGCTCGAAATAGCTGGTGGAGCCTAGGACGGCAACGGACTGATCCATCACCCACTCGCCAACGCCAAGGTAGCTATCGATCCATTTCTTAAAATCCTTGTTATCGGTGATTTTGTCGGAGTCGAGACTGGGGCTGTGAAGATCCCCACGCAGTTCCCCCGATGGGGGCGCGGGGTGACAGGGTTAGCGAGATCCCAGCAATCGTTTGAATAATCATAGCCCATAGCCATTATTGCATATTGACAGGCTACAGGAACAGACAAATCATGCGTAGGAAGGGTGAAATTACGTAAGACCAGTCGAACGCTTCACACCCGCCAAAAAGGCAGAGACTATGTGACCGTTAGTATCTGTTGACTATAGGATAACAGAGAACAGAGGAGGGCCTACAAAGAACAGCGTCAAAAGCGTAATGGGTGAGTCGGCCGAACTAAAATGTCCAACGATTAGCGGGGATTCCCAGAAAAAAAACAAGTCAATACTTCAGCAGAGAGCTATCGGGGAGCAAGAAACGTACCATGGTGACCATATCAGGGCTGAATGATGAAACTGGACTTGTTCACACCGAGTGCGGAGGATTAGCTAGAGCTCGTGGTATATACGTCTTGTGTGACTCTAGAATTAGGAGCTGGAGAGCTAAATTTGACTGATAATATGCAGAAGGAACGAAGAGGTACTCCCCGCGAGAACAGCCTCGGGGAGGTTCAGCTGGCTCACGTGCCTTTTCACATGACGTGGGCGAGTGATAGGCGGTGAGATGGGGCCCGGGAGGCTGGGATGTGGCTGGGGAAGTGGCTGGCTATATTTGGAGCTTTGCGCTTGCACACAAGTAGCTAGAGGATAGGCCCCAGAGTTATGCAGATCGGAGATTAGTCATGAAGGAGTATACTTCGTTATGCTGTGGTTTTTATGCTTATCTCGTTTGGCTGCCTCAGTCCCACTATCTCGGACTGGACAACTCCTCGCTGCATGCCATGCGCCTTGGCACGGAGTAAGAGACTACCACGTTAGTACGGTTGGTGTAGATTGATTCCTGTACTCGGTGTCCTCGGTGTCCCTGAAAGGAGATTCCTCTTCCCAAGTCAGACCATCCGAGAATCACAAGGTATTTGATTATGTTTTTCTGAAACAATAACTTTGTCAAGTATACGTCACGACGTGAATTCATTCGTATGCTATGGGGAGAGTGGTCTGACGTCGAGGGTTGTTTGAGATATTACACGGTATATTATCATGTGGCATTGAGCCACCGTGATAGTACACATCATATACTAGTAGTAGATAGAAGGTGGGACGCCTCACAGAGGTGGATAAGGCAAGAATGGGTGAAGTTGGTCTGCCCTGTAAGTGGGGTGTGGGAAAACATTGCCAGATGGCACTGCAGTTGATGGAGGTTCTTGGTTTCTTTCCTCTTTGGGACCTCCGACAGGTCATTGATCATTGGTTTTTCATGGGTGACCAAAACGTTGATAGTTATAGATATCAGATGAATAATACGTACAGGTAATAGTTACTGGTAGCGGATACGTTCAATGTTGTGAAAAGGGGAATAGAAGGAAAAAGATAAAAAAAGAAAAGAGAAAGGGAAAAATGCCAGAGTTGAGCCAGCCGCGGGGGAACCAACCGGAGATACTGGACAACACTTCTTTCTTCCTTCCCAACTAATGAGAAAGGCGGCCAACAACATTTTCCCTCCCGGGCACACACCCACTCCCGCAAATCAAACCAAACCCAAAGCAGCCCCTCGCTCACCGGCCCTCTCTCTCTGGCCAACTTCTCCGATCTTTTTTATCGCCCATCTCCCCCCCTCTTCCCCCCCAATTCTTCCATTCATCCAAATCACAACTTCCTCTCCCCCCCAATCAATCTTCTCTTCCTCTTCCTTTCAGTGTAGACAGGGAAGCTTTCACAATGGCCGCTAGCAACTCTCTCGACCATTTGAGCAACCGTATGAAGCTGGAGTGGCACTCCAAGCTGAACACGGAGATGGTGCCCGCGAAGAACTTCCGCCGCACCTCCATCATTGGCACCATTGGTATGTATTTACCATAAACTCTCACAGTCCCCTTGTCCTCCCCTCACCCTACACTGAGTCTCAGTAATTCGTATGAATGGTGCTAACGTTGGTTCCCACATTGCAGGCCCCAAGACCAACTCGGTGGAGAAGATCAATGCTCTCCGCAGATGTACGGCGAAGTCCGATGATCCCCGTAATTTTCTTTCGCTGACAGTGATTCAATAGCCGGTCTCAACGTTGTTCGCATGAACTTCTCCCACGGTTCGTATGAGGTGAGTTTGTCCCTGTTCCTGGGGTTTTCGTCCTTTCGTTGTAGGTCGTGTTTGCTAACTTTCACCGCAGTACCACCAGTCCGTTATCGATAACGCCCGTGAGGCCGCCAGAGTCCAGACCGGACGTCCCCTCGCCATTGCTCTTGATACCGTAAGTCTAGACCGGAGCTTTTGCAGGGTTAACAATACTAACCCGCATTGCAGAAAGGACCTGAAATCCGTACCGGAAACACCACCGATGATAAGGATATCCCCATCAAGCCGGCCACGAGCTCAACATCACCACTGATGAGAAGTACGCTACTGCTAGCGACGACCAGAACATGTGAGTCTTCATCAGATCCCAGATCAATCCATAAATGGCTTGGCAGAAGGCCCCGCTTTGTTGAGACTAACAATGTAATTGTTAGGTACCTCGACTACAAGAACATCACCAAGGTGATCGCTCCCGGAAAGCTCATCTATGTCGACGATGGTATCCTCTCCTTCCAGGTTTTGGAGGTCGTCGACGACAAGACCCTGCGCGTCAAGTGTCTTAACAATGGCAACATCTCCTCTCGCAAGGGTGTCAACCTGCCCGGCACCGATGTTGACCTTCCTGCCCTTTCGGAGAAGGATATCAGTGATCTGAAGTTCGGTGTCAAGAACGGCGTCGACATGATCTTTGCTTCGTTCATTCGTCGGGGAAGTGACATCCGCCACATCCGTGACGTGTTGGGTGAAGAGGGTAGGGAGATTCAGATCATCGCCAAGATTGAGAACCAGCAGGGTGTCAACAACTTCGATGAGATTCTCGAGGAGACTGACGGTGTCATGGTCGCCCGTGGTGATCTTGGTATCGAGATCCCCGCCCCCAAGGTCTTCATCGCTCAGAAGATGATGATCGCCAAGTGTAACATCAAGGGCAAGCCCGTCATCTGTGCCACTCAGATGCTCGAGTCTATGACATACAACCCTCGCCCCACTCGTGCCGAGGTGTCTGATGTTGCCAACGCTGTTCTTGACGGAGCCGACTGTGTTATGCTTTCTGGTGAGACCGCCAAGGGCTCATACCCTTGCGAGGCTGTTAAGATGATGAGCGAGACCTGTTTGCTCGCCGAGGTTGCCATTCCCCACTTCAATGTCTTTGATGAGTTGCGCAACCTCGCTCCCCGCCCCACTGATACTGTGGAGTCCATCGCCATGCTGCCGTTAGCGCCAGTCTTGAGCTTAACGCCGGTGCCATCGTTGTCTTGACCACCAGGTACGTATCGTATGGTCCCATTGAACTGGACGTGTTCGCTAACTGACTGGTGAAGTGGTAACACTGCTCGTCTCCTTTCCAAGTACCGCCCTGTGTGCCCCATCCTGATGGTTACTCGTAACCCTAGAGCTTCGAGGGTACGTTGCCAATTCTGTATATCACCCGTCGTCATGGATTGCGCTGACTGGTCTGTCTGTAGTATTCTCACCTCTACCGTGGTGTCTGGCCCTTCCTCTTCCCCGAGAACAAGCCCGACTTCAACGTCAAGATCTGGCAGGAGGATGTTGACCGCCGTCTCAAGTGGGCTATCTCCCACGGTATCAAGCTCGGTATCATCAACAAGGGAGACAACATTGTCTGTGTCCAGGGTTGGCGCGGAGGCCAGGGCCACACCAACACCGTCCGTGTGGTCCCTGCTGAGGAGAACCTTGGTCTGATTGAGTAAATCCAGACAGCAGTATCACCCTTGGTGCATGACGTGGTAACGAACAGCAGCTGGGTAGGTAAATAGCGACGAGGGTGTGTCCTCAAAGGTCGTAGACGGGTCTCGGCTAAGTATGACGACCGGAAAGTTCCGCCCACTTCAAGTGATCCCCTGATCCCCGAATCCTTCCTTGCGAGATTCATTAGTCGGGAGGGTGTAGCTTGGAGGCGGTGTCGGGTGAATGGCCGTGGAGTGTGTGCTCTGGTCCGCCCATTCGGTCTGGAAGCGCACGAGGAGACTCACCCTTCCGAACATAATCTGTATTCATCTTGAGTTGGCGTTAGTTAGCTGCCTGCTTTTTGGTGGTTTCTTGCTATCCAAAGCTAGATTAATGATCTTCATGTTCACGTTCATAATGACCAGATTCGTCAATTGAGTTCGAGGAACCATAGAATTCATGGAAGGTTTAAGACTTCCATAAAGTCTCGAGTCAACTGTAGGTTAGTCACATTCCCGGTATGGGGGCTTTGGTTCCGTAGATCAAGAACTGTATACCACCCATACATACATAGCAAGGTGATTTAAGGGGGCGAATCCCCTCCTCGATGGATTTCATTCCCACATGTAGGGGAGCAAGAAGAAGAACGAAAGGAGAGCGAGATCTTCCCCTCTTAATAGGAACCGAAAAAAGAAAATTCAAAAAGGTTCAAAAATGAATGCGGGGGGATCCCCTCTACCGAGGCTGCAAATGCCTCATAGGAAGAAGACTTGCATGTCGCATCGTAAAGGTGGTATGTTCTTGATCCTTTCTCATAACATTTGACGTGAAATCATGGAATCGCTCTTGCAACTGTCTATTCCTAGAGTGCGAAAAGGAGAGAGAATCAGATAAGAGAAAAAAAAAAAAAAAAAAAAAAAAAAAAAAAGGGACAGAGAGGGAAAAGATATACTCCCCCGAAGCATATGCATGGAAATGGTGTGGAGAGCAAATCAAATTCCCGAAGTGTCCCGAGTTCCGCCGAGATTTTCGGGAAGTCTGGTGGTCGGTGAAACGGAACGAGTATAAGCATCCATCACTCGTCGTGGACTTTCGGTTTCAAAGCCATGTACGTAATATGGTCTGGGCATTGCGACCTGGGCGGGTTTCTTTGCCTTGTCTTTCCTTTTTGTCTTTGGTCTCGTTATGCTTCAAGACTTTGGAATTACTTGAGGATCAATCGGGACTGTTTTTCAGATTTCACGTGGAGTTGTCATAGATATATATGGATTCGTATGAAGACACTGAAACACAAGTGCACAACGCCGTTTCTCATAATACAGCCCCAGTCAATACATTAGATTAATACATCTCGTGATTGATAATGATGATAACCACAAGGAAATGCTCAAAAAAGGAACGTCTAAAAAGGAGAGTATGCGCAATTCGCTATGCTGATGCCGTGAACGCCTTCGCTATGTCGCTATCTTCATAAGGAATGAATGGATCGTGTCGTGTAAATCATATAGTACTTTCATCATCATCATAGAGACTAAGCTGGATAGTCCTCTAGGAACCACCTGATTCATTTCCTTCGGCAGTGTCACCGTCCAACGCATGGTGTGCCTGGCCTGGAGGTTGCTCAACCGGAGTGTACCGATACATTTGGGGCTGTTGGAATTGACTCCAACAACTGGAAGTATTTGTCAGCGAACTAGCTCCATGTAATCTTACGAGGAGTGACTAACCTTGGGGCTTGAAGAACGTATCGGGCCATTGCCTCCCTGAACCGACTCTTGTATTCCTTGGGACTGGTCACAGTAGGCCGATTCTTACCTCCGCCAGCGAATCCACGGTCCTTGATCCATGATTCTAATTTCTTGTCCCACGTATAGGTACGGATGCAGTCAATAACGCCTACTACCAACTCCGACCGGCTCTCGTCGATGGCAATCATGAGTGAATAATCCATGACATTTTGACGGCCCAGGAAGAGAGTGTCGTTCCAAACGCTTTGGCTAAGAAGTTTTTTGGAGTGTTCTCGGGTAAAGAGCGGTGTCTCGTAGATGAAATCCACCATGTTCTCATCAAGCAGGACCTCGTTGCGTTCTCCGGTGCTCTGTACCTTGCGATTCCTCATTGAGCCCTTGAGGTCGAAGATCCGCGTCGGAACGCGGTCGTAGAACAGGTTCTCCATTAACAAGAGAAACCAGTTAAACTCGGTCCCTGTGGCAGGATTCTTGATAATTACTTGGTAGAATCCGAACATCTTTGCGATTGCGGACGGTAACTCGTGGAAAAGTGCTTCAGACATGATCTGGAAATATGCTGGAGCAAACTTGAGGAAAGCCTGGGTCTCAATAGTCGACAGCGATTTCAGAATGAAACGATCGTCCAGCGTCTTCAAGAAAATGGATTTTGTTTTCCCTCCCTTTGAGTCCCATTTCGCACATCGGGATAGTGATTCAACAATACGCTCGGCAACTCCGCACTTCTTCCTCAAAGCATCGAACTGCTCGGCATAGAACACCTTGCAAAGCATTTTTGCCTGACCTTCCTGGAATTGATACTTGAGGTGCGTCCCCGTACATCTCAAAAGAGCATGCTCAACCCGTGCTTCATTCATAGCTTCTGGCCCTTCCCCAAGATCCGTGTCTTTCTCATCGAGCTCCTCGTAGCGTCTCTGGATGCTTGCCAGCTTCTCTTTATAATCGTGAGAGTCTAAAGCGAACGCAATGAGCGAACTCGGCTCATCCTCGCGTACGATAATATCGCAATCTGCAAAGACATGGTCGGACATAGTCAGTGGATATTCGAGGGGAGTCCATCCACTGGCAGAACGCTCCGACCAGAAGTTCGTTAGGAGTTTCAGAAGCGTGCTCCTTTCGTGTTTTGGGAACTCTTTCAGGTCGAGTTGTTCATCTTCCGGTGACATCTTGGGTAGTTCTTCATTTGAGTCTGTAACTTGTAGCCCATTCACTGAAGAGCGATCTTCATCGCTATGTACCTCCTCTGTTTCGCCCTCTGAGAGGATTGGATCCGTATTCTGAATGAGGCTGTCAGTTTCCACTTGCGTGGTTGATGGCTCTTGCGAAATAAGATCTTTTCTTTGTTCTTCTTGCGACGATTGTGCTGGGAGTGCTTCGCCGTCTTTGCTTGAGTCGTCTATGGAAGTCCGTGACGTGGACGAGAGGAGGTCCTCCCCTTCACCCGAAGGCTCTCGTTCCTCAACGGCCTCTCTAACATTTTTGTACACTTCCACAATCGGCTTTGAACTTGCGAGCGGGAATGCTCGAGATTGTGAACGCTTGGCGGCTCTCTGGGCTCTTTCACGTTGCCGCTCCTTTTCGAATTCTCGGCTCAATTGCTCGAAATGCTTGGCCAGAGAAGAAACACGCGTGTGACCCTTTCTTGTCGGTATCGAGCGAGGTATTAAAGATGGACCGGGCGTGAGTCTTCCATTTCGGAAGGCATTTAAACCGAACCGGTCTGATAGCTTTTTTCTGGGCCCTTGAACCTCACTTCATAAGGAGGGGGGCTAGGCGCACCGTCGCGACCACCAATCCTCCCAGGGGTGATTCTGAACCCTTTCAGGGGATTACTGTCATACCCTGTTTCCTTCTGGAGCTGCGCTGGCTGTGATTGAGCACGGAACAGTGGTGGAGAAGTTGCCTTTGCATTACGCCTAGTAACACCCTCAGCTGGCCGTGGAATTGCTGAGCGGTGTTGATTTGGAGGAGAATTGGGAGAGTGCATCGGCTTTTCAGCATCACAGTTCCGCTGGCTTAGTGCCTGGGGGTCTCCTTGCTCGGGAATGGTGGCCCCCAAGGCGCCTTTACTCGAATCGGCTTCCAATGGTGCTGCTTCGGGTTTATCCACCGTGCTCTGAGCATTCACATCCACGAGCGTCTGTTCAAATTGATTTGAAGGCAACGCCAAGTCCAGGTGCTGCACTTCTTTTTTCGCTAAGGCTTCGTCTGCAGGAGAAGATGACAGCCTTTCCTCTGGTGCAGGTGAGGGGCTGGGTGTATCAGTTTCTTCAACCTTCGCGGGGCCATTGTCTTGGCTCTCGGCCTTTTGCTCTTTGCCTGAGTGTTCTTCAACGACAGATACTAGGACATCTTGCGTCTTCTCCGGAGACAAAGTCATGCGACGCATCTGCCGTGGCTTTTCCGGCTCCTCGGTATTCTCACTCTCAGGTTCCGTAGGCGTGGTCAGGGCTTCTTCAGTTGAGGTAAGAGAAGTAACAGATGCATCCTTGTCCAGAAATATTTTCTTCAACTGCAATGTTGCCAGTCTCCTAATATCCTTCTCGGAAGGAAAGAAGTTCTTTTCGAATTCCGCAAATGCAGTATCCCACTCAACAACTTTCTCCTGAGCAAAACGTGCCACTTCGTTCAGAGGAGTAATCTCCCAATAACGGGAGTTGATATACTTGTCTTGTAATTGTTTGATTAAAGCTGAATGATCGTCGTTAGCCTTTTTGGTTAGGGCTTCAACTTCTCTCTTGCAATCTTCTGCTAGCTTGGGAATGACACTATCAACATTAATGCCTTTCAAGCGCGCTTTGACAGAGAGCATGAACTTGTTCAGACGCTGTTCAATCTTGAGGTAAATGTCATTTCTGAGCTTTAAATCGTTGTCAACTTTCCACGTAACCCGTGTCCTTGGAACAATGATCTCGAGTAGATTGATGGGGTCGTAGTGGATGCGTAAGGCAACATCTTTGAAGCCGAAGTAGCGGAGGTGGTCACGCTGCAAATCGTGCGGACAGACGCCAGCCCGAGCATGAAGATTCTTGCTCCAAAAGGACAGTTCTATATATTTCCCAAACGAATACTTCCACGTGCTTTCCGACATAGGGAAGACCTGGGTTTCGTTCCCACATATTTTGCAGGCACTCCACATCAGAATTGTGTCCTGAAGCCCGCGGAGTTTCGAAGGATACGGTTGAATGAAAACACTTATTTGGGCTTCTCCATGTACGTACTGACGGTGATGTTCAAACATCCGCTTTTCACAACCATTTACATTGCAAATAGCATTGGCATTGAGGCATAGATCCTCAACATATTGGCCAAGCGCACAATCGGGTTCAAACATCGCGTCATCACCGTGCTCGTTATAGTACTCCAAGGCAAGAAGGTCCGGGCCTGAGCAAGGAATTGACGACGTAGTGCAGACAAGACTGAAGAGAACGACAATATTCTGATGTGCATATGGGTCAAAAACGCCCGCTGCTCCAGCGATATAGGCTTCCCATTGACGTTTCTGAGTTTGATAGTTATGCAGGGCTCTGTCATACTCGGCGTCATGAGCCGCATGCAAAACCTCTTTTACTTTCGGGGAAGCATCTTGAGGTGATTCATGGACCATCTCAGGAGTTACAAGAACAAACTTTTGTGACCTAGTTTTCTCATCTAATGATGGGTCAAAGTTAAGGTTCTGGTCTCGCAGGCGTTTCAAGTAGGCTAGCCTCCGTTCCATTTCTCTTGCGCGTTTAAGCAGGTAAGGAGGCTCAAATTTGACAAACGGAGAGGCAGAGAGAATCTTTACCTCACTATCATGCACGAAGTCCTGGTAGTACGTCGGCATGGGAACGTCATCAGGCACTTCTGTGACCTCACTGGCAACAGTGGACTTTTCTGTGATAGATCCATCATTCTTCTCATTCGAATCCTGCTGCTGGCTTGATGGAGGGGAACCTGATTTCTCCCCACAGTTATTCGCTGTAGCTAAGACACTTGAGCGTGCTGCATCAATGGCCACCCTATCGGCTTCGGTTTCGGATGACGCCGGCATCTGAGCAAACTCATCTCTCATTAGGCAAGTCTCCAACCTAAGGTTGTACACAACATAGGTCATGAACTCGGTAATCCGTTTCACCTTCGAGAGAACTTCACTATCACCACCACGAAGAACAATTGTACACCCGAGCTCTTTGCGACAGCCGGACAAATACATGTATGTTTTCTTGCGTCCGTTGTAGACATATGTCTTGACATCGAAACTGCCGCACTCGCTAGTCACAGGAGTGGTAACAAGTTTATCCATGGAAGTGATTATCCTAGTTTGGGTGCATCGTGATACAGCTTCAAGAACAGAAGACTTGACATTGTATGCCGTTGCAATTTTGGCTTTGTCCAGCAACTCTAGAGCTAGCCCAGAGACATTCTTCTCAACCAGGAGCAGGTTAGGTCGTAAAGCAGCTATCCTGCTTACTAAATTCTCGAGGAACTCACGTTCCTGGCGAATGACAGGCTCCAAGCTCATAAAATGCTGCTGATGACGGGCATATTCGAGTGGAAAAGCAATTATCAGTATCTTCGGCTGCGGGATGCACCTCGACATGCTCTTGAGGGCAAGGTTTTTGGTGAAAACTAAGCCGGATACATAGGAAGTATCCCCAGGTCGACCGCCCAAGATCTTTTTGAGTTTTACGTAGTGACGAATATCCATATCGTCGCCACCTTGAACGTCTGGATCAACCTCATCTGCCGCTTTCAGGAGTATGGGAAGCAGAGCAGTCTCCCAGCTCTGGGCATGGGGTATCGAAGCGTCTTTCAGAAGTTGCCGGAGGAGCTTGCGAACATGTTGTAGGCTAGCCTTGTTCAATTCTACCGGCGGGGCACCAGCTCCTCTCATAGACGAGCTTCTTGTCATTTTAAACCCGCTAGTATTCGCCCCAGTAGGGAATACGTGGGCAGTAGTTGAAGAGTCTTGTGGGTTGAAAACACTGTCTTTGGACGCCCTGGGCGAGGGGCGTTGGTGAACACTGCTCGCAACGCTAAGATTACGCCGGCGAGGACGAGGGAGGTTTACTGCTCTCGAGCTGCTGATGCTACCCTCATCTGGTTCGCGACCGACATGGCTGTAGTTTGCAATGCTCCTATCCCCAAATGCAGATCTGCCTTTTTTCATGGCAGCGAGAAACCCTCCAAACGTTGTTCTTTCATTGTCACCACCGCTTTTAGACAATGACCCTTCTGATACGGCTGATAGCAGGCTTGGCTGCTCGTCGCCACTCGAAGCATCATCAGAGAGGTACTGTGCCAGATCTGGGTCGATGATGTTGTCCTTGTGGAATGCAGGTAGTCGTGATTCAAGGGCAGTGTCCTCTACATGCCGCCTCTGGAAGGGGGCTCGATCATCATGATAAGGCTTGAAGTTTCGAATAAACTGCTGACGAGAGTGGTGGCGCTTATGACCCATTGAATGAGTCCTCCCACTGAGAGATGACTTGAGCGATCTTGAGGATGTTGGCCTTGCTAATGGCCGATCTGGGCTGATCTCTAGGATAGCCGACCGGCGATTATGGCCTTCACCTGCCCGTCTTGTTGCCGGGATGGCCATTGTTGGTGTTTTCATAACATGATCTATCGATTGCGAGATTATAGAGGACGTGTCATCGTCGTCGGCAGTGGGACGCGGGTAACTTCCCAAACCCAGATCGGAGACTCGAGGATTGACCACAACTGGGTTCTGTTCGCTATCTGAGAACTCCGAAGAATCATCATCATGCCCATTAATCATAGCTTCACACGGCTTGCAGACACGTATAGTGCCCGGTTGGCCGAATCTGTCTCCAGGGATTAGCAGTGTGCATTTTGAGTCGAATATTTGGCCGCAGGTCCGACAGTGGTGCTTGCGTCGAAAAGTAGAGAAAGGCTCGCCGCAATGGAAGCAGTCCTTTGCGTTCTCATCTCTCATCCAAAAATCTTTACTGAGCAGTTTACTCCGGAGTTGAGACATAACACCATCACCAGTCCCATGAGAACGCCAGCTACGGCCATCCTGACTGGGGCCGTAGTCCACCGTTGTGCCCAGCGGAGTAACAGCAGCAGAGCCCATCGATATCTCGCTTGGGGAGGCTTGAGAAACCACATATCCCGGTAAGCGGCTCGAGCTTGGAAGAACGAGTCTTTCCTTGGGTTTATTCTTGACAAGTGCCTTTGAGGATTCTCCCTCCCTCTCTACCACTGGTATATGTGTCGCAGCAGTAGATGGAGGTTGAATATCGGGAAACGAGTTGTCAGTATTACCGGGGAATTGAGAGACATTACTCGCTGCAGAAACTGGAGCAGCAACAGATTTATCTGGATTGAACGAAGCCCCTGAATTCGACCTGATTCTCTCTTTTCCATCGTGTACTCCTTCGACTGAATGCCTCGCTTTTCGCACCGGACCAGACATTGATGTATCTAACTCATGAGTGACTTGGCTATCTGATCTCTTAAAACTATCCGGGACCTGACTGTTCGTTGTAGATGACCTGCTAACATCTGAAGTGCCCGAGCCTTCAAGCGAGAAATGCTGGGTCTTCGCCTGCAAGACCGGGGAATGTGATATTCGTTGGCTCCACCCTGAAGAGCTTATAGACGCAGTGAGAGGGCCATCTTCTTTGTCTGTGCTAACTGAATCGATCGATTGAAAGCTGTGAGAGGAGAGATTCACGGAGTTATTGCTCGAGTTATGAGGTTCCTTGATAGCGTTGACATGAAGCTCAGTAACTGTCGGGTCTACAGCCACTGAATTAGTCGTGCTTTTGGGCAACGGCACAACAGGAGATTTCATTGCAGGTGAGGGTGAGACTGAGGCCTTTGAGGATATACTCGCAGTTTTCGACGAAAGCCTGGAACCCTTCCCAGCCAGTAGTGGAGGTAAGCCATCTTGCGTAGATTGGTGAGTTACAGACGTTGGTGAGTGTAATCTTGAGCCCTGAGATGAACCCGGTAGGTACTGCTGAGAATCCGGTATGGAAGCTGTCGAGCCATGAGCAGATTTCGAGACGGAGCGCTCCGACGGAGGACTTCTTATTCCATGGTCCTCAGTGGAGGATCTGTCTAGCGATCTTCCCACGCCGCTTACAATGTCCCTGACCCCGCCCACAGATGTTCGAAACCGACTATATAACCCACTCAAGCCTCCTTGTAGCTCGCCTGAGAAGCTTTTTTCTTCAGTCGCAGAAGTGGGAGCGGGTGGATTGGTAAAGTCGTTAAATGTGGTAAGAGAATCGGACTGATAAGCTGCCGTATGAATCTGGTCTAGTGCAGCGTTTAGGCCCTTCCGTTCGGCGTGTGTTGATAAAGATGCCCGAGAGCCCCGTCGTCCTAGCGGAAGAAAGATCGATGATGCGGATGGACTTGACGTCCCTTGAGACTGCTGTGAAGCCATCAAGGCTTTGCCGTATCTAGACGGATGAGAAATGCAGAGCTTCGAAGGCTAGACGTCGTAGGCAAATCACTTTTGGCTCAGTAAAGATTAAATAATCGCAAACGTCCGTCGCATCTACCTCGATCGGTCGTGAAGGGAACTGATTGGAGACTGTGTTGAGCGTATCCATGCATAGGAAGATTGGCTCCGCATGGTTTAGGAATATACCACAGATTTCAATCAGTTATAGTTTAAAAGAGATATGAAGATTTGCACAGATGCGTTTGAGGGGTGAGACACAGATTGACCGATGCTTTTCTTTTCCATGCACGATGCCCGCCAAAATGCCCGTGACATGCTGCCCAATGACGTGGTGGTGGTGGCGTAGCAGGTAGCTGTGGCTGGTGTGATCCCTGGGCGGTGAGGCGCGTCTAAAACCGCGTCGAGTCCGAAAGGAGGAAAGAACAAAGACACTACTAGTATCCATGAGGTAACATCGCCTTATATATCGATTCACCCTTATGCTTTAAGAATGAATAGCACTTGGGATGGATGATGCAGTTCTCTGAACTATGATGTATATTATGGCCACTCTCTATCTAATCAACCTGTCTAAAAGAAAAGTCCCTCCCGCATTTTGACTGACAATCATGCGTTATACCGGACTATTGTATACCAGACCATGACACTTTTCTATTCTGACGCAATTTCTGCTTCTACACAATGACTTCAATGAATTCGTGGGTTACGCCACTGGTTGAAGACCTTCTTTCCCGTTACATCAAGGGGCAGATGGACAGCTCGGAATTCGTGGACGATGGCAGTAATCTTCGTTTTGCCCATCACTCTCCACAGTGCACTATAGTTCTCAATGTAAGCTTCCAGTCATTGAAGGTATATTATATTCTAACCACCTCACTATTGTTTTTAGTGGGAACAAAGCGAGGGCAGGAGTGTGGCAACATTAACGGACTTCAAAACTCAGATCGAAGCAGTGCTAGCAAACGAGTCTTTGGAGGCACTCAGAAGGGAGACGGGCCAGCGTCCATTAAACAGAGACATGACTCTAAATCATTTCGCCCAGCTACTTGACTATGAAATAGTGCTCGAATATGCCATGTCTGCTCCGAAAATTTATTTATACGTTAGGAATCTTCGTATTGCGTGGCACAAGGGCAAGTACAAAGGCGCGCCACAAGGCAAATCAATTAAGAAGAGTGCAAGGATACGAGGCTTTATGAAGAAAGTTCTCGAAACCATCAAGCCTCGGGAGAGCCACCGGGCTGCGACTTCGCCAAAGGCGTATTCCTTGGATGACTCTCCAAAATCTCAAACTCACGACGTCTCTGGAAACCATGTCTCACAGCAGTTTCTACAGTCCCAGGCTCAGACATCCTTCGTTGATTCGGGAGTACCGTCCATAACGCCCGTAATTCAAACTAGGCGCAGCCCAGCAGTTTCGAATGCGCTACTTGGATACTTGGAATCTCATACCAAGCCGGCCGACAGTGGGTTGCCAGATAATAGAGAGCATGAAACTGTTGCCATTTCAGTCAACGACGAATATCCTGACAGGACCGAGGTACGAGAAAATATCCCAGAAGATGCTAAAAGCTGCAGTGATATTCCTCGTGTTGAAGGAGCTCAGGAATCTGTGTCAGACTCTCAATCTGAACTGATACGTCTTACTCCGCATAATAGTCACACAGCTTCCCAGGCACGATACGATGCAGGTCATGAGTTGCCAACCACGGAAACCGATGGGGGAAAGACAGGCAAGATAGATGTACAACATGGACAGGATCATGAAAACATCACATCGTCACGGTCATCACCAAAACAAAAGCTACCTGAAACGAAGCATCCATCCGAGAATTCAAGCTCTAGTCACACCGACCCCTGGTATGGTATGACTGGTATCAAGCCTAGGGACATTAGGATACCCAGAAATCAAGTCATATTACTTGAACAGCACACTCGTCAATGGGTACCACCCGATCACGGGGACTCCATCAAGGGTCATGTACCACCTGAACTTTTAGCCCAGTGGAATCAAATTGCGCTGCAGAGGAGTCGTTTAAGTGGACGGGAAGGGCTAGGGGGCTTCGAGACCGAGCGGGCTGAGTCTCGTGAACTTTCGCCAGATATCAACTGCTCTACAGCTCAAACGAATGCAGAATCTGATGATGAACCCGTAACCTCGGAATGGTCTGAGAGCTCTCCTGAACGTGTTTCCCGTCCTCGACAACTACCGGCAGACAGTAGTCCTGTGACGGGGGCCATAAAGAAGCGCAACGGCGTACGTATTACAAGACCGAGCAGCACACGAGAAGAGAAGCAACCAAAGGAAGCCGGTTCGATGCCAGTGCGCGAAAATCAGCGAGACAGGCGAGCGACTTCCGCAGTCCAAGAGGGCAATGATCTACCCATGAAGAATTCGCCGTTTGAAAACAGTGCGAACGAGGAACATATCTCTAAACCTGTGCATAACAATACCAGGGCTGCTGGACTCAAAATCCAAGAGGAATCTGACGCAGAAAGCGAAGATTCAATCATGGATACGTCCGTTCCTTGTCCACTTGGTGGGTCACAACAATCGAACTTTACCAACCAGTCGGAGCAAGGAATCGTCAGTTCCGGATCTTCGCTTCCCGCACGAGGACATGTGCAAGTTTTGGAAACACCTTTAGCTAATCTCAGACACCTACGTTCTGCGAGGCTGGACAAGGATAAAGCCGGTCTGGAATCGCACGACATAGAACAGTCATCATCCCAGGTGGCCAAATCGTCGTCTCAATCACGCATCTTCAACACATACGCAACTAACGACAATGATATAGAAGGCACCCAGACTACAAACGCCTCAAGGATCGATGAAGCTGGTGAAACTAATGATATTGGCGTTCTCGGGACACAGATGAGTACCGGTGAATGGTCGATGCCAGATGCAACTCCTAACTCCCACACTGCCCTTGTCTTCGACTCTTCCGCACCTAAAGAGCATGACTCAAATGCTCTTATACCTAGGTCTACACTCGAATCTCTGGATTCCTCTAAGCCATTTTCATCTCATGACGAAGTGATCTCGTCAATGGAGTTCGAGGAGAAAGGGCCTGAGTTAGTACCAAGTCAGGATCTAGCACGTGACACGCATGGGCATAGTGAAATATCATCTTTAAAGCGCCCTGCATCCAACATTGAGGTTGAACAGGAACAGGCACCTTCTTCAAAAAGACATAAATTCACGCAGGACGAGAATATAGATGCAGGCATTGTAGGGGAAACCAGACCAGCTTCTGGTCTCGTTTCTCGTCGCCAGGATTATATTCGTCACTCTGCAGAACACTTGGAGGCGCAAAGGATACATGAGAAGTTTCGAAATGATTACCCAAGCTATGTCGGAGACTTCCCACATTTCAGAAAGCTGTGTGCAATATTGCAAGCCGTGCGAGACAAAGGAAGCTTACAGCGGTCTTTCTTGTGGGACGATTTCGTTATCAAGCACTTGGAGGAATATCCGCATTACCTGGAGCAATGTCTTTCTTTGGAGACGAAATCGCTAGGGTATGAAGATTATTTCACATCACACTTTTCCAAACCGACTCATAAGAAACGAAGTCTTACCGCAGAAGGGATCAAAGTGGTTGCAGCACAAGATACCCCTTCAGACCTATCTGACGCGGCGGCGGGTCTATTACTCCTTCGAAATGGGGCAGATACTTCATTTACTACCAGCCTTGTGGATAAATTTTCGAACTTCCACGCGCACTCCTTTGGACCACCAACCCAGAGTACCCAATCCGACACGGATGTTGATAGAATGTCATTTACGATGCCGTCACCCACTCAACATGCGAAGAATAAAGTGCGTTCGCCTGGCGATAGTCAACATCCAGAGGTCGAAGAACATACTGGGGAGACCGCCGAACAACGTTCAGAAGCCGAGGTGCAGCAACCTGAGGCAGGCGAACAGCGCTCAGAAGCCGACGAACAAGCCTCGGAAGTTGATGAACAGTTGCGCTTCGAGATGAATGCTCAGCTGAGCACATTGAGAAACCTAGATGGCAACGAGTCCGTCGTCGCAGAAAGCGAAATCAATAGCGAGGAAGACGTGTTTATGGATGAAACGCACGAAACAGCCAGTATTGAGCTAGGGGACGAAGAACCCTCCACAGCGCTTGAGGCGCCCCTTTCAGACAATGAATCAGAAGCAGCCAATGAAGCGGAGAGTCCCAACGAGAATTGGTTTCTCTCCCTCCGACATCTCTTCCCAACAAAGCCTAGCTGGTGCGACGACCCCGACACTCCCTTTAAAAAGTGGGCTCAAGCAGACCAGAATGTCTTCTCTCAGCGCAAGTTCCGTCGCCACTGGGCACGCATCCCTACAGATGAAAAGGGAGTGCTTCAGCTGCCGTATTATTCCAAACCTTCAGAATGATGTTTGTTTTGAGCACCGAGTACTCTCTACCTGTGCTTTCTCTAATTCTTTGAATCATCGTGCCAGACTTTACCCTTATCTTGTTGAAATATGTATTTTGTCAATACCTTTTGCATTTCACTTATGACGGGCTTAATGTTTTAGACAATATCTTTGTTATCAGCGTTTGCTTCTCGATGGCTAATTCGGGGTGATATGAGGGATGCATATTCACTGGGGGGGGGGGGTTGATTTGACTGTATTTATATTTTACGTTCTATGTACCAACACGAACTGATATCGAACACTTACAATGAAAGCTATACCATTGAGCAACTGCTGAATACTCTTCCTATGTATGCAATCCAAATTCATTGAGAGTGCAAAAGCACATTTCAGAAAGCGATATTTCCAAGATCTAGAGACATATTTCAAAATGTTACTTCTCACAGTGAGGAATAATGTCAATGTAAAGTAGAAGGTAAATTGAAGGAGGGTATCTATGTCATTGACATCAATCTATATCCATGGTAAAATTCCAGAGCAAGCGAAGCAAACAGGCGAGAATTATTTATCCACCCAGTCCGAATAATAAAACACAGAAGTACAATACAAATCCCAAACGGCCCATGCTGCAACTTGGCATTAAGTTCATAAATGAGGATCCTCGCTGAGATGTTTCAATAAAAGCTCAATTGGATCATCAGTTTGTCATTGGTCGAGTTGTATGACCATGTTATTTTTTTAGAAAGAATTTTCTTTATTGACTTGTTTTGAAAAGGGTTGGCTCATGTATGGTTTCGTTTAGACGTGGCGGAAGGGCTCATAGGCATTTGACCGGTTCTGAGTAGGAGGAGGGGGTGGCGGGTAGGAGGTATTGTAGGGAGAGGCCTGTTGATTGCCCTGAGGGCCGAGAGGCTCATAGGTGTACGGGGTCTTTTCGGCCGTGACACCGCGGGGGGTGTTCTTGTGGTTGTAGGGGGAGCGACCGGAGCAGCAGCAGCTGCTGAGCATCCAGAACAGAGCAGCTCCCAAGGAGAAAGCGACAGCCAACCAGGTGGTGACATAGATGTTCTTTCCCATGCTGCCGTGCATACCATAGTCCTTCAGGTTCTCGTTGAAGGCGCCGGTGACGGTGGCGAACATGGCCGTCGCGGTGACGGAGGCAGCGGCAGTGAAGAGGAAAGCAACGCCAGAGACAAGCGTGGTGACACAGCTCCCCCAGCGACTGCAGATAGCGAAGACACCGACGACTAATTCGACAACCGTGGCGACGAAGGCGACGATATAGGCGATGAACATCCACTTGGAGACGTTCTTGTAGAGGTTCAAAGACTTGCGCAGGCCACTGGGGAGGCCATTCTCGACGCCGGTCTCCTCCAAGTTCCAGACTTCGATGGGGTTGAACCAGAACTCTCCTTTAGGCTTCGAGCACTCCGAAACTTCGAACTTGTCGTTGGTGATGTTTCCATCACAGTAGCCCCACAGACCAATGTTGTAAAAGTCCTTAAGGTCAAACTGCTTCTGAACCTGTTCCAAGGCCGCGGAGATATCTCCATCTGAAACGGTCACACCGGCATCGGAGAGAGCTTGGGATACTGTACTTTTGCTCGATGCGGTTGTTGTCATGTTTTGTAGATCGGCCTGAAGATATTGTTAGTCGGGGTTCCCCGATCGCACGAGACGGGAAATAAGCCTACCCGGAAGAAGTAGAGGTCATTTAATGTGCTTGAGCCAGAATTTGTGCAGCCCAGCCCGACGATGATGAGGCATACCAACGAAGCGATGGTGAGTGCATACGGCGTGATAATACACAAAACCCGACCGCCTTTACCCATGATGACGGTGCTGATGTGGAAGTTGTTCTATGTGTGAATCTAAGTAGATGTATGGCGAAGATTCCGGTGGATGTGACGGCAGTAAGGGAGAGAGATAGATAGATGAAAGAAACCGACCGTGAGTAAAGGACGGGTAGTTAAGAGAGTAAATTGAGTGAATCGATAAAATAAGATGGCAGGAAGTTGTCAGACGGGAGAGAATCGCGTTGTTTTTAAGATGGGCTGCCCGATGATCGTCAGTCCCCCAGTATCAACTTTCCTTTGCTGGGGAGGCGCAGGTGAGTTTTTTTTAATTTTTTATTTTGTTGCGGATCGTCAGGCCAATCAGGGGATCCGGTGGAGGACTACGCCACGCTTTGTTTCTATAAATGCATGCGAGGTTTCCACCGCAACTCCGGGACGGTTTATTTACCATACGAGTCCAACGGGACCAGTCGTATGGCGCTAAACCGGATCGGGGCCACTCGAGCCTCGTGGCGGGGTCACCGCAGCCCTACCGCCACGTCATAAGTGGCTGGAGTCCTACGCGTCGTCGTCTTAGCATTACGAGATTTCTTAGGAAGTCGTCGTCGATCCCTTGTAAAAGCAGACTATCCCTATCTGGTACCCTATCTGCCGCTTGAACGATCGGAAGTCTTCAGAATCAGAATCAGAATAGAGAACCACAATCGGAATTAAAGTTGTCAAATTGAAACTGATCTGAGGCATGGTGGACCACAACACGGCCTTCGTATTAAAATAACCATCCTTCTAGACTACTTAGTGGAAGGCGCAGGCAGGCTTCCTTATTTCAAGCTTGGCAGCTTGACATGTTCCATACCACAAACAAACTGAGTACTACTACTGTGACGGAGTACTCTGTGCTCCGTACCTTTCTCAAAGATCTGCTTGCTGCCTTAAGGCAGTCCACGGCATACCAGATCAGGGAAAGCAGAAAGATTGGATCCCTTCCCGTTCCACTGGATCCAACAAAATTCTCCCACTGGATCAATCAGGCACCTCATTTCAGCCTCAAAGTGAAATTTTGGCGGGGGAATTCATTCCATACATCAATGGAACTTGTTCTGAACGATTCATTCACGTCATTTTTGACCAGTACCATCATGGTGATCGCGCAGTCAGAGACTGGTCAGCAGCATCTGTAGGTAAGCAATAGATGCATGCAAGGACCAGGCACTTGCGAGTTCAAGCTAACGGTTAACCTTTAGGCATCTCTTTAATTGAACGACACTGCCGACATAGTGGAGTGATTCCTGTGTCTCTTGACAAAAAAAATCCCATTATTAATCCACGCTTGGCCACCAGATGACTGTACAGGGTTAGACTCGTACCCATCCACGGACCGGGGCTGTGCTTCTTGGTCTATGCCCTACGAATCGGTGGGTCATTCCATTCATGTCAGAAGGATTCCCGAGTCTATCGCTTGAACCGTCAACAACTTGATTTACGTGTACAGACGTACTTTGCCGTTTTCTTTTGCCGACCGTGAAATTTAGAATATTTTGAAATAGAACTATCCGCAATGTGCTCAGCACCGGAATGGCAAGAATGACAACCTGAGATCATCTCACACCCTGTCCTTCGCAGTGTTCCTATCCCAGGTATGCTTGCAGAACGTCCATCATTCCCGTGAACGCAACTCCACTTGGAGGCTCCAGATTGTACATATAATCCCCCCACCATGGACCAGCGGCCCACCAAAGCGCACCCTTCCACACGTCGGTGTTCTCCGCCAGATAATCCAGCATTCCCTTCACGGCGGTTTTGCACTGGTCGTTGTTTCCACCGGCGAACTCGCCGATGATACCGACCTTGTTGTTGTCCTTGAGCCACTGAGTAGCGCTGGTGACGCGCTCCTGGCCAATCGTACCAGACACGCAGGCCTCGGAGGTACCTGACCCATCCGAGTCCAAATACTGGTGCATCTGGTAGACGATCTTGTCCTGGGGATCCTCCAAGTTCTTCATATTGTCGTTCACATCGGTCCAGGTCCAGGCCCCGGTCCACGAGTTACCTTCAACAAAGATATATTGCTCCGTGGCGCCAGCCTCTCGGATCCCGTCGATGGCGGCTTGGTTGAGGTTCAAAACCAGCTCTTGGTCCATGTCATGGTATTCATTGTCTGCAAGTTGGTGTTAGAATCAATATTATCCAGCTCAATGCGATCTTGGGAATGAAATCGATTGGGCCGACTTACTGGTATCGAAGATAACCAAAGAGTTGCTCTTGAACTGTCCTGCCAGGTTCTTCCAGAATGTTTGGAAGTCTGATGCAGTGGAAATGATCTCGCCATTGCTGTCACGATCAAGTTAGACGTCATTGCCATGTTTTAACTCTCTCCGATACACTAGTTTGTGGCCTTCGAGATACTCACAATCTGCCATAGTTATGGGGATCCAGGATAGCATGCACACCCGCATCAGTGACGGCATTGACCACCTGTAAGTCTCGTCAACACCTTAGATCTTTCTCTGGGCGGATCAGCCACTTACTGTTGTCAAGTTCGTCAGGTAGGCCTCATCATATGCCCCCGTCATCGAGTCTGGAACCAACCTCTCCATCTTGAATTGAATACGGAATATATTCATCCCCTTATCAATCAGGGTGGTAATGGCCGAGACATCCGGGAAGATATAATCTGTACCCTGTAGCAATTACACTCAGTTGATGAACAGACATCTCATTGCGCATGGTGATCATTTGCTCGAGGCCACATACCCATACGCCAGGGAGGTTGTTCTCGCCGAATTCAGCTCCCGACTCATTGGCGCCAAACCCTGCATTGCTTGTTAGCACAGTTATTTCACAATAAAATCTGAGGAACGAAGAGAAAACGGGTCTAACGAACATTGGAAAACTGAATCCCTCTTCTTCTGCTCCTTAGCCAGAGGAGCAGCAACCGCAGAGCCAGCTACAGCAGCAAAGAAGAGGTTCTGGAATTTCATCGTAACGAGAGCTCGGAATGCAACAAACGAGGACAAAGGAGAAGAATATAGAAGGATCGACAACAGATCAACTGCTTGTGCAACAATCCCTCATGGACGGGGAACTGACTGGATTATATATACAAAAGTCCGATCAGTCCTCTCAATCGGCTCCGGAAGAAGTTAATAATTCACAACATCTTTGCGCCGGGTCTTCTTCCTTTTACCATGGATAGCATGAACTGATTCGTGGAATTCATGACTTGAAACATGCCGATCAGGAACGAACACGCTGGATATCGGGGTTTCGGCCCGTGGGGAATGCAAAGCCATTAACATCTCGGTTGTCGAGAAAACAAGACCCACGTTTAATCAATTATCTGAAGAGTGGGGTGGCAGAGCAGCGACTAGATCAGTCAACGAGTATCAGAATTATCCGGGGACAAAAGTTGGAAATTATTTAGGGTTCCCTTTTGCCGTCTTGGCCCTTGGATGAAACGCCACGGAGATGAAATCTTCAGGTACGCGTGACAGCGATCGACAGCCTAAGAAAGCTGAGGAGATGCAGTAGTGTTTGCCAGTCCGTGCCTTTCTGGGTATGGTCTCTTCAGGCTTGCTTGCATATTTCTAGGTTTTCGTGTCCTTTGTAGCATTTACTGTCATATGCATCGTGACGATGCTTCCGACATGAAACCAAAATATGCAAGGATCTATCGTATGTTTTTTCTAAGCCATACACGTGTAAGTACTGTGACTCTAAATTAAACCAGAGTATCAAGGTCTTGTCTCAATGCTCAGTTGACAAGACGTAGAAACACAGCGATAGACACTACGCGAACAGCAATGATGCCCAACAAAACACTTTCATTTACACATCCAATCAAAACCAATAAGCTTATGTACAGTGGACATCCCCTAAGCTACCATGCCCCCAGAGGTTGCAGAACGGCCTTCATATCCTCCGCCTGGAGCTGATGATATTTCGCAGAAGGATGGTAGTCATTCCACCAGATACAGGAGGAACCGTCGTCATTGATGCAAGTAGCATCGGGGAAACCGTAGTCAGTGGGACTATCAAGGATCTTCGTCATGAAAGACCAGGAATCGTAGAGTGCGACAGTAACCTTTAGCAACAGGCTCGGTTAGTCTCCAAATGCTCTTAACACACCGCGACTATACTTACGTCTGTATGGTTGGTTTTGAACCCCTCCACCATCGACTCAAGATTCTTATTATAAACGGCCAAATAAGCGGCATGCTGCTCAACGGTGGCCTCGCCCTGGTTAATGAACATGGGGCTTCGGCTCGTAGGAGGTACATTGAGGAAAAGGAATTTGCGACCTCCAGCGCTGTAGATTCGCTCCACCAGCGAAGCAAGCCGTGCGATCAACGTCGGGGTGAGCGTGTCGGCATCGGTGTTATAGAATGCATTGCCGATGCTAAGCCCAACAGTGAGTACGGGACCTATTTTCTCAAACGAGTTCACGGGACATACTCGTTGATTCCAATCCAGAACCCGAACACGGAATTCTCCGCCGACCAGGGCGCAGAAGCCGGCTTGTTGCTGTATGTTTGGTCGAAGATGTCGACCTGGGACGCAAGGTCCACGTCTGTGGATCCCTGAACGAGTGAATTATCAATGCTCGCACCGCCCACGGCTAGATTGTACGAGAGGACGAGGGACGCATTCTCCGCCGTCGTCAGATAGCCAACCCAGTTTTCACCCCCGGTGGTGGTGCCGGTTCCTGGTCTTGACGTCAATAATACGGATGCCACCATCGGGGGCAACGCTTCAACACTCACCCAAGGTGGGGTTTCCCATGGGATTCGAAGGAGAGGGTTGTTCTCCAGTGGTGCTGAAGCCGGTCTGCGTGTATGAGTTGCCACTTTGTGTCAAGTTAGTGGTCTAGAATAGCCCCGTGAGGAGATTTTCTCCATACAATGTAAAGAAGTAAGTACTTGTAGTGTTTACAGCTCTCGGCCACGGGCGCGCAGCAACCGTGGAGATGGCGCTGGCCATGAGCCAGGAGGTGAGAAACTTCATGGCGGAGATACGGTTTAGTATGGTAAAGAGATACTGTCCGCAAAGATGCCTAGTTGATTGGAAACAGCTGCTCTTCTTCTTGCAGGAGCGTAGGGTCTCCGTCCACGCTTTTATAGACATGCATGCTCACGGGCCGGCAAACCTAACTTATACACTCCACCGAGAACGTCACAGGGGGCGCTCGATCAATGATAACTAAGGAATGCATGTTTGAAGAGAGGTAAGTCATTATCCATTCAGTACTACCAGGTGGAGTCCATCGGCGACCGAGACCAAAGCTCCATTTACCCGGAACGTCTCGCTGGGAGGTGTGGTCTCGTTAGGTGCCGGAAATAATTTCACCGAGACGCAGCGCGTTGAAGAACAGTGTTTTCTTTACCCCCGGGGGGGAAATTGAGAGCGAAGATCGCAATTGATGGATGCAGTTGTTAAGACGTTGTTTCAACTGCCGGTGGGGTTCGGACCCTAGGCTGTTTTGGTCACGGCATTTTATATCAACCTTCATCCACCACGATAGCGTATTGGCTGCAGAGGTATAGCGGCGGTTCGCGGTCAATCGTTTTGAATATATCCTGTGTGCGGGGAAAAGACTATTACTTTCAAGACTAGCACAATATAGGTAATGTTCATCAGTTGGATGTGATTGCATTGAAAGAGCTAACTTGGTACAACACATAGCCCCGAAATCAGTACAAGCCATAATCGAGATCCAACAAAACAGCAGTCACAAAGCTTGCTCCACGAGTTAAAGTAGTAATCACTCGCACCAAAGTGCCGCATATCGCATGCTCTTTGTGGAGGCTTTGTGCAGAACTGCCATCTCCAAGATAACTCCCGGTCCAATTGCCAACGCGATGACTCTGTCTCTTCCGTTTGCGCTATGCTCAGTGCCATTGCCCTGGTGCCTCATAAAATCGAGTATGTTCAGCACAGAAGAGGATATCGTACTGCCCCTAGACCTGTAGACTGCGTGGCTATGGAACAGATTGGACTTCCGGAGATCCAATGCTCCTTGAGCATACTTCAAGGAAGCACGACCGGGGAAATCTGAAGCCCAATTGTAGGAGTTCGGCAACTCACGAGCGGGATCAGTGTGAAGGCTTGGAACGGAGTTGACGAGTGCCGTGAAATTGGAAAATAACTCCGTCGAGACGAGTCTGGGGATAAAAGTCGAAATATTCGGTTTGAATCCTTGGTGATGAGAAGTTCATTAGGCAAAACCGCGAGATCATTGGAGACTAGGTATTACAGTGGAGGAACAGATGTACTCACCCAAAGGCCCAACGTTCAGCTCACTGTATCCCTCAGACTCATTGATGATCACGCTTCGGAACCCGAGTAAATTCCAGATGGGGGCTCTTTCGAGTACTTGGGTGCGTATCCAGTTGGTGAGCACTAAGGCAGACGCGCCGTCGCTGAATCGGCCCAGTCCAAATCCCACTTCCTGGTCCACGTTGATACGGTGGAGCTCTGCACGGGCAAAAAGAGTCGGTAAGTCGCACGAGACAACAAGAGCTCGCGCCGGCAGCCCCTGAAGAGCCGCCCCGGCGAGAAGGTCATGGGCAATGCGCAAGGCTGAAACTCCACCGGCGCAGCCGAGGCCATGCAACAGAGTGCGGTGGACTGTGGGACGAAGGCCAAGTGTACTACATATGGTGATGTCAAAACCCGGGTTTGCAGTGTTAGTACAGGTCACAGCTACAATATGAGTGATGTCCTGCATGGAACCGCCCCATTCTGCAATGGCACTCTTTGCAGCACGAGAAACTAGCGAAATGGCGTGTTCCTTGAAGAGAGCATCGGTATCTGTGATGGTGGGTAACGTCTGCTGAAACCAGATTGGATCATCCACAGGAAGAACGCTGCACAAATGCCTGACACCAGATCCTTCGATGAGATTCATTGTCTTCGCTGCCCTGGGTAGCAAGTTAGCCAGCGACCACAGAAAGGAGAGGGTGACCATATATTAGCCTTACGCAGGAGAATGACGACAGTGGCAAGATAAGAGTTCCTGGAGGAAATCTCGCTGAAGGAGCGTGGAACCATATTGTGTTGCCATTCCCACCACAGAGATGGTAGGGTTTGAGGGTCTATCTTGTCTGAATATCTGGCGGCATGCTTGTTTACATACACGCCAACGTGTGATGAGCGTCATGCGTACCGCATGGTATCTCTCCTTCAGACTGAAGAACTGCATCTTGATGTGAACTGGATTGCAAATTGGTAAGGTGTGAGATGAGTTTGGTAGGGAGTTTAGCACATGCCTGCATGTCTGTAACCATATCGCTGCGGCGACATGAATGTGTTCTCGGCATACTCACCCAGGTTATCACCTACATTCACAGGACATATTCTGCTTATACACTGATGTTATCCTAGATTAGTAGTATACTAGGTTAGAGAACTGCCTTGATATATACTGAAACTCTATATTTTCTGTATCCAATCCATGCAAACATCACATCGTAACCAAGGTTGCACAAGTTAAGGTAGTTGGATGCCCATCATTTCCATGCCAACACCACAGACAAGAAGCTTGGTCTCTCCCGACGCCTCGCAAATGAGACCCAGAGATGATATGTCGGCTACGGAGCTGTATCTATCTGCTATCATTTGCACTTGTATTGCGTCCGCTCCAATCTTCTTAGCATCTACCTCGGCGCACCAGATCTTGACCCGATGGTCATTACCGGAAGTAGCAATGACGGCCTGCATTGTTCCCATGTCCGGACATTGGCGTTGCTTGAGTATCTTGCCTGTTGTGATACATGCTGCATGGGCGTCGGGGATTGTGATTGTGGTAGCATCGCCAGCTTCAGTGCTCGTGAAGTTTGTGTTCAGAAGGGAGAGTGTTAGTGCGTTGTCGTCACCGGCAGCAACGACAAGAGAAACTGCATCCGATATATGAGCAAGCTCCAGGCATTTGATACTGTTCGAATGAGTCTGGTATCTGTATTCGCATGAGATATTCCCCGGCGTAATTGGAAACGTGCCGATGGGCTGTTTCAGGCGAAGAGCCGAAGAGATAGTGTAGTACGGCTCCAAGACCGAGGTTAAGTTCCAGAATGTGAAATATCCATCTGTAGATGCCGTCAGCAAGCTCAGGGTGGAGTCGCGCAGTAGGAAGCATGCTTCGGTGAGGCAATTGCTTGTATATGTGCCCTCGGCCAGTAAGGTGAAGTTGCCACCATCGACCGTCGAAGAATAGTGGAATATCTACAAAAGTTTAGCTTGGCAGAAGAGAGAAATGGCCACCAATTCTTTTACCTTCAGTGTGGAGTTAGAATATACTAGGCAGAACAGGAAGCTGCCATCCGAGCTATTCTCATCCACCTGCAACACATCAAAACTGGTCACTCGAAGATCAGAGAACGGATCATCCCTGACTGAGGCTACTGCATTTGTCGCAAGCCCAAACAAGGGAATCGATCGAATCTGCCAAACGATGAATTCTTCGCTCCCGCCACTTGTAAAGAGATAGTTTCCCTTCTTTGACCAGCGAACTTGCTGCAGTCCGACCTGATGCTTTTTCAAGACCCGCAGACACTTAAAGGAGCCCCACAGCTTTTCTTCGTTTGGCTCTGTCGGTGCAAATATACGCACGATAGTATCTTCCGCCCCAGTTGCAAAGAGAGGGCCGTCTGCCGTGTGAGCTACATCCATGGCCTTGATCTCTCTTCCATGTGCTCCCGCACGCAAAGTACGGTTAGCATCACCCCGAGTCTGAAGAACATTGAGGTTCTTTTGGAGCCATATAAACATGCCGGACCCAGGCTCATCCGGGTTAGGTTGGAAGGCCCATCTCCGATGCGCACCACCACATAAGCGTCTGACAATTTCGGATTGTGTGGTCTCGTTCCACAGAACGAACTCTTTCCCATGAAACCCATACAGCATAAGATCCTTGGATTGTCTGTCAATGTAAGCACCCTCTATTTCAATGGTCCGAGTAGCATTGGAGCGATGGATCGTCCGAACTGTAGGCAAGTTTTGTGGATCTTCCTCGGCCTCCACCTCGTGGACACAGTAGACTCCAGATCGACCACAAGTCAAGAAATAATTCAGGGAAGGGCTGTTTTCTCCATAAAGCGATGAAAACGACGATATACAACTGATACCCTCCCGAGAGTGTATCTTACGATTCCAGATGGGTTGCTGAATAGGCATCGTGTTCGCAACGCGATATAAGACAAGGGAACCGTGGGTGTTTCCTAGAGCCACATATTGGTTGCCACAAATCAAGGATGCGCAAGTTACTCCAAAACTGTGAGGAAGAGCTAAAGTTATGGTCTCCATTTGCGATACCTCGCCTTCTGATAGTGATATCTTGACTAGACTCAAATGGCCTTGTTCATGGTGGGATGAGATGAAGAACAGGGTCTCATGCGAATCGGAAGCACCACGTTTATAATCAAGGGCAAATAGCACCAATGGCCTTGGGCCACTTTCGACAATTCTGAGCAGTGATCTGGTGTTGTGATTGTAAAGTCGGATTAATCCTTGTGAATTGCCCAAAAGCGCAATGCCACACTGTGGTAGGGAAGTTATAGCACAATAAGATGAGAGATCTTCTTCAAGGAACAGTGTTTCCTTGAGAATGATGCTTTCAGTCGAAGCCTCCGCGCTGATCCAACAGACCTGCACCTCGCCACGTATAGTGGTAGTTAGGAAATGCTCTGGTGTAACAAAGGTGAACGCCCTAACTGATTTATCGACCCTAGATTGAGACATTCCAGGACCAGCCGAGGCAGTAATGCTGTTGTTTCTGTTCGGCAAAACAAGTCCACATTCCGCATCCGCCTCTACCTTGAAACTTTTTACAGCACCATCGGCACCACCAGTATACACCGTTGTATCCTTAGCAGTGCTGCGCATGCATAGGGACCAGATATGCTTTCCGGTATGGTTATGCCAGGAAGAGATTTGGCCTAAACTAAACTTCGGCCTCGGGGATGAAGATGGCTCCCAACTGAGATTCCAAACTATACAAGTTGCATCCTCGCCACGTGAGAGCAGGCTCATACTGGGCCGATCTTCAGCTCCTGTAGGCAAGAAATGCACACTCCATATCCGAGCTTTATGGCCAAAGGCGCTCGCCACACAGGATTCCGAGCCGAGGCCATCGCCAATAGCTGCTCCACCAAAGCCGGTGCTTCGAAGTTCAAAACCATCCGTCGAATAGGCTGAAGGATCGTTAGGGGACGCATGCTCACAGTCTGAGATATCCCATATCCTGACTGTTCTGTCATCGCTACAACTCGCCAGGAGCCGTCCATTGGGGCGACCAGGTAAAGAGGCAATTGCAGGAGATATCCGAACCCCAAAAACAGATCCCTCATGGCCTGTGAAGAAATGATGGATGGAGCCAACAGCACTGGGTCTAAGATGCACACTTTCGTCTAGAAAGCAAGACCAGACTATCACCTCACCAAAGACGGTTCCAGCAGCAATCAGCACGCGCGACGCCGAATATGATATAGTTTCAGCTGAGTAGAGGATAGACTTGACTCCAGCAACGAGCTGCTGAAGATGAATCGATTTTGGATATGTCGGCGAGCTTCCATGCACCACATAAAGCCCAAGGAGACTATTATGGGCAGTCAGCACGTAAGCTCTATCCACTCCATTTATGGAGTCAGGCGCACACCCAGCCAGAATCCAATCTGGTGCTAGATATTCCGCACTGACTGGAGTCAAGGACACCTCAGGGCTTTCAGCAGCCTCACTTCTAGCAAAATACAAGTCGATAATTCTCAACGATTCACCTCCCCAGGCTAGAAATTGCACGTATGAATTACCTGTTTTCTCGTCTTTCTGATCCAGAACTATGAACCCATGAACGTTGTTTCGTTTGAAGGTCTTTAATTCGGCCAATATTTTGCCACTCCCATCATCAATTAGGCGAGAGTACGGCCCTTGTCCTTGCAAAATAAGTCTTGCATCTCCCAAATTAAGTGCTTTCAGTGCAGTTACAGGGAGGCAGACATCTATGTGCTAAGGGTGGGATTAGCGGTTGCATTGTGCGGTATTGAATATCGATCACCAACCTCGAGCGGTGGATGCATTGAGGCAAGGAACAAGACATTAGTTTGCAAGGCCGTGAGTTTTTGAATGAAATGTTTCCTGATGCTCAAAATTGTACAGCAGCATTTAAATTTCCCCACATGCCTCGATTATCATTTCCAAAATTCCCAGAATTTCTATCGATAGCGAGACGGATTATGTAATGCACTCGCCTTAGGCAACTTTCCAGAAGAGGCATAATTGGGCACGTGATATCGCGGTTCTCGTGTCGACGCAGTGGCGACACGAGCCAAGGGAGTTTACTTATCATTGTCTCACCGGTTAGGCTCTTGACTTTCCTTAGCCCTTGAGACCGCGTATACTGTTTACGGTCTGGTCTATGAGTGTGGCACAAGGCCATGTCGTCGAGGTACTACTATGACGCAACCTTAGATCCGCCATTCCTAAGTCAGCATGGGTGTCCATGGGCTTTGGACCGTTTTGCAACCTTGTGCGCGGCCCATAAAATTAGAGGCACTGAATAAGAAACGCTTAGCGGTTGATGCTTCGATCTGGATATATCAGTTCTTGAAAGCTGTACGTGATAAAGAAGGGAATGCTCTTCGTAACTCTCATGTCGTTGGCTTCTTCCGTCGCATCTGCAAGCTGCTTTACTTCGGAATAAAGCCAGTTTTCGTCTTTGATGGTGGTGCGCCGATTCTTAAAAGACAAACGATAGCTGGCAGGAAGAAGAGACGGGAGGGTCGCAGAGAGGATGCCGTACGAACCGCCGGGAAGCTGCTTGCCGTACAGTTGCAAAGGTCTGCGGAGGAAGAGGCAGCCAGACGCAGAGATGGTGCGCCCAGAGAGCAAGAGGAAGTCCCAGATAATCCGGTATATGTCGAAGATGCTGGTATGACCGAGAAAGAGAAGCACCAAGCTCGGTCATTCAGGAAAAAGGATGCTTACCATCTCCCGGAGTTGCATGTCTCACTGGAAGAGATGGGAGCTCCGAACGATCCGCGGATTATGTCTCGTGAAGAACTTGAGGAATATGCGAAACAGTTCTACAGAGGTGAAGACATCAACCTATACGATTTCTCCAAGATCGATTTCGACAGCCCATTTTTCATGAGCCTTCCTGCCACGGATCGATATAATATCCTAAATGCCGCACGACTACGAAGTCGACTGCGCATGGGTTATTCTAAGGAACAGCTGGAAAACATGTTTCCAGATCGTATGGCCTTCTCAAAATTTCAAATTGAGAGGGTAAAAGAAAGGAATGACCTTACTCAACGTCTGATGAATATAAACGGCATGAATGGTGAAGATGCTTTTTATAATTCGGGCCAGCGGATTGCTGGAGAGCGCGGTAAGGAGTACGTGTTGGTCAAGGATAACGCCGTGGAAGGTGGTTGGGCCCTGGGTGTCGTAGGAAATAAGGATGAAGGGCGGGAGCACAAACCTATCGATGTCGACCAGTATGGCAAGCAAGAAATTCTTCCGGAGAAGGATGAAGATTCGGAAGATGATGGGGGCTTTGAGGATGTGCCCATAGAAGGCCTCAACCGTCTTCCCAAACTTGAGTTCCTTCGGGAAGGCATCTTCGATGCTTCGATCAGACAGCAGGTGCAGGAGAATACCGAGCGAAGGGCCACTCCAGGTCTGCCACAGAGCCATGAAGATGACTCTCTTTTCGTGCAGGAGGATGGACACGAAAGACTACACCACCGCGAACGTCGTGCTATTGACGATATATTTGAGATGGATGGAGAGAATCAAGATGAAGATCTTCAAAAAGCGATAGAAATGTCGTTGAGACCCACGTCTCCTCTAGATCAACATGATAGCGACATGCCAGACATCTCGATCAACCGTAGCAGTGCTCCTCTAGCTCCGCTCAAAGAAACGATACCAAGTTTCAGTCCCGACAGCGATGACGATGGCTTAGACTTTGCAACTGCCCTAGCGCAGTCGAAAATGGCGAAGAAAGACCCAATCTCGAATAATCCTTTTGATGGGCCTCTTCCTTTTGAGTCTATCAAGCTTGACAAGCCCTTCAAAACGAAAAAGCCCCAATATGAAGAGCTCGATCAGCATGCTGGTGGCTTCGAAAAAGAACCAGCAAAGAAGACAAAAGCTGAACAACCGTTACCACCTTGGTTTTCTGGAGGGAGCTCGACTGCCGAGTTTATTGCCGATACTGATGCAGGTGCTAACCCATTGGAAACTCATCGGGATAGTACTAGTACCATAACCCCAGACCATGTTTTTCTGAAAAATCATCAAACCCCAAAAGTCATTGACGTTGATATGCTTCCTAGCACAAATGAGGTGGTTGACTTGGAAGCGAACTCTGAGTGCAAACAGCCTCGGGCTACACAAACGCTGGACAAGACAGAGACTCCGACAAAGGATACTACGACTGCATTCCGTGAGATTCCTCCGGCAGCTACTGAAGCAACCGACATCTCCGGACGAGTTTCTATTGCAGAGGCTGCCCATGGACCATTTACTTCCCATGATATAGAACCTAGTAGGGATGAGCAGGCAGACCTGTTGCGTACTCAACCGTCGCCATCTCCCGAGTTTGAAGATGTTGAACTACACCCAAAAGAGGCGATAACCGATACTGTTGTTCCTGAGATGGAATCACAAAGCCATCGAGTTGATGAGCTTGAAGGTATCATCGGGGAAGATGATGGGTTTTCAGATCCAGAAGATGAGGAATTAATGCGACAGCTTGCAGCCGAAGGTGAAGAGCACGTCCGATTCGCGGCTACATTGAACTCTACGTCGCACACCGAGAATACATTTGATTACGAGCAGGAGCTCAAACAACTGCGGTACCAACAAAGAAAGGATCGCAGAGACGCCGATGAAGTGTCTCAAATCATGATCTCTGAGTGTCAGCAACTCCTAACGCTGTTCGGCCTGCCATACATTACCGCGCCAATGGAGGCTGAGGCTCAATGTGCAGAGCTGGTAGCATTGGGCCTCGTCGACGGCATTATCACTGATGATAGCGATATCTTCTTGTTTGGAGGTACACGTGTCTATAAGAACATGTTCAACCAGGGCAAATTTGTCGAATGCTATCTTACTTCTGATCTGGAGAAAGAATACGCCCTCCATCGAAGGAAACTTATCAGCTTTGCCCATTTACTTGGCAGTGATTATACCGAAGGTATACCCGGCATTGGACCTGTTACAGCGCTGGAAATTCTCACTGAGTTTTCTAGCCTGGAGGAGTTCCGCGATTGGTGGACCCAAGTTCAAATGGGAATGAACTTATCCGACGGGGAGCATGCAGCTTTTTACAAGAAGTTTAGGAAGCAGGCTTCGAAAATCTTCCTGTCACCTTCTTTCCCGAATGGCCAGGTTGATGTGGCATATCTCGAACCCGAAGTCGACTCGGATCCATCTGCCTTCCAATGGGGAGTTCCCGATTTACATGGTCTGCGTAATTTTCTGATGGCGACGATCGGATGGAGTCAGGAACGGACCGATGAGGTCCTGGTGCCAGTTATCCGTGACATGAACCGCAGAGAACAAGAAGGCACGCAGTCTAACATCACGGCTTTTTTCCAGGGGCCGCAAGGGGCCGGTGCTTTTGCACCGCGCGTCCGCAGCGGAGGCCAGAGCCGAATGGAAAAAGCATTCAACCGACTTCGACAGGAAGCCGGGAGCGAGACAGTCCGATCTAAGCAAAGTACCGGAGCTGAGACCAACTCGGTGGAGCATTCGGAAAGCACTGGCTCCTCCCAACCTCCACAAGGGGAGAAAAGTACGGGCACTAAACGGAGTGCACAAACTAAGGATAGTGTGAGTGGTGACGATGTCACCGGGAAGAAACGAAGGACCCGACGAACTATTACAAAGAAGTGACTAAGGCTATCTCGCTCTTAGTTTTTGTCTTTTCTCTCTTCCTTCCCAGATTGTTATGTAATAGAAGCTCGAATAGACTATACGTAGTTAGATGGCGCACAACCCCACAGTTAGTCATAGCCACATAATGTTGCTTTGGAGCCAATAGCTCGGGATGCGATCTGACGACGATCCCTAATGTGGAGATAGCCGATCATTTGACCTGGATCTGGAATTAGAATTAACCTTATATACTAGTCGCATATCACATATCATGCGTGGTGGTCATGTCGGGTGAAACGCTATGATATGGTTGAATTGGAACAACGATCGATCTCCTTGTTTATGAACCAAAAAAAAAAATCTTTGAAGGAGGGTCATGGACAAGGTAACCTCAAGTGTGTGATGACATCCTTTTGAGATTTTCGTCTCGTCAACGTTGGAAACAGCAGAAAAAAGTTTGTCGGAGACGGGAATCGATGACATCAGTGACATGGAAGGAATGTTTGGGTCGCAATGACGTCGCAGATCACGGCTTAGCTCTTGATGATCATTAAAACAGCTCGAGCAGCTTTGCTCCCAAGCTTATAATATTCTTTTACCTCCCCCGCAGATTCCTTCCCCCTGTGCAGAAGACGATCTTCCGCAACAGCTTGTTCATGAGTCCCTAGAAAATCATTTGTCAATCGAGAAAACGCTCGTCAACTGATTGTTCATCACTGCCTAACGTGATCTCCGAATCGGGTTAGCCTCCCGAGTAGTCTCGACGTCACCGGCGGTTCTCCTGTTGCAACGTCCAAATCCACTGCTCTCTTTTCATTTGGTTCAAGGGGGAAACGAAGGCAGGAAAAGAGGTTCAACCAGGAAAAACAAAAAAAGACAACAGTACCCTCTACCGTTCCCTGGGTCATTTTTCCAAGCTATACGATTTTCGCCATTCCATACCGTCCGCTCACTAAGTCGGTTCGGTTGCAGTTCCTTCCCCTCGTGCTCTCGTCGCCCTTCCGTCGCATCCCGTTGCTTCCACCAGTACACGTCACTCCTGCGCAAAGCGAACCTTCAAAGAAACCACTTCGTCCATTTTCAGACGATTTCTCCCAAACATTTTTTTTTTTCGGATTTCTCTGTATCCTTTTATCTCGCTCGCTTGCATCTAGCTTTCCATACAAACCGTAGCTATGCATCGCACCTATTCTATGCGCCAATCGCGCATGCCCACCGCATCGCAGATTGAGAATCCGCCTCCGCCGGTGTCCACGACCAAGACAAACCGATGGATTGGGAAAGGCGGCTTCGGTGAGTGTGTTTGGTCTCCTTCGGCTGTCTCGCAGCAGATGAAAGTTTCTCCTTGCGAGCAGCTCCCCCTGCAGCGATTGAAGCTGCTGCGCAAATGGTGCTGACAATGCCTACTGGCCCAGGCCATGCCTTCCGCAAGAATGCCGCCGGCGCATTCGGACCCGATCTTGCAAGAAAGCTCTCCCAGCTCGTGAAGATGGAGAAGAATGTCATGCGTAGCATGGAAATGGTAGCCAAGGAGCGCATGGAGACTGCCGTACGTGGGATATTTTTGCACACGAATCATGAGAATGGTGACTAACATGATCACAGCAACAATTGTCCATCTGGGGTGAAAACTGTGATGAGGATGTGTCCGACGTCACGGACAAGATCGGCGTGTTGCTCTATGAAATTGGAGAGCTGGAAGATCTCTATGTCGACCGTTATGATCAGTACCGTGTCACTATTAAGAGCATTCGCAACATCGAGGCTTCCGTTCAGCCCAGCCGAGACCGTAAGTTGACCTTCGTTGCTCAAGTACCATACCTTAGAGTGATCCTGACGACGAACTATATAGGCAAGCAGAAGATCACTGATGAGATCGCCAAGCTCAAGTACAAGGACCCGAACTCTCCTCGGATTGTTGTTCTCGAGCAAGAGCTCGTTCGCGCAGAAGCCGAGTCCCTCGTGGCCGAGGCTCAGCTTTCCAATATCACTCGCGAGAAGCTCAAGGCAGCTTTCCAGTACCAGTTTGATGCACTCCGGGAACACTGCGAGAAGGTGGCCATCATCGCCGGCTACGGCAAGCATCTTCTGGATCTCGTCGATGACACTCCAGTCACCCCCGGTGAAACTCGCGCCTCGTACGATGGATACGATGCCAGCAAGGCTATCATCCAGGATTGCGAAGCAGCACTCGCCAACTGGGTTACCTCCAAGGCCGCCGTCAAGTCCGACGTGTCACAGCGCACGCGCACCCTATCTCAACGTCGCCGGGAGGCTATCGGCAAGAACCGCGATGGCGTCGACCTTTCTACTCAGGACCAACCCATGACGGGTGATCGGGACTCGTGGGTTGCTGCTGATCAGCACCCAACCTATGTTGAAGACGGTGAGGAAGTCGCCAGCACTGTGGACGGAGAGGCTCGGGGTCGCGAAGAAGAACGCGAGCCTGTCAGCGTCTAATGGGGCTGGTTGCCACCACGAGCATCAACGTCGGTATATGATATGTTGATGGTTTTTGCCGAGTCCTCGTCTTTTCATCCTTGTGATACTCCGGATTGAAGTCCCGCTTGATGTGATGTTCTCGTTTTGCCGTGATTTCATCTCTGTTCATGTTACCACCCATGTGATGCTAACTACACTTAATTCAAACCCTCCAAAGGCACCTACCCGACAAGAAGATTGTATCCAGATGCTCATTTTGGCCGTTGATGCCTCGAGTCCAGCTGATGATGTCATGACTCCCTTACTATTCACGGATGAAGAACAATGTTTATGCTGATTGAACAGAAGAACTGAAGGAGGGAAGAAACGCGAGACCGGAGGATTTGTGATACCATGGGTCAGACTGTCGGAGAGGGTTGGGGGGTCTTTGTTTACTTGAATAATGTAATACCATACTATCCGCGACAGTATATTCTTTAGTGATTTTTGAATTGGTCATTCGGTTTGTTCAGGATAAGTAGGAATAGTACTTAATTCTTTTCAGGTAAAATTCTGATACAATGTCTCCTCTACTTCAAGGATCGGAATCGTGATGGCCGTTCAATTCCCGCTTCAACAGTTGTACTGTGTACGGAGTCCGGATGTAAAAGGTTTGGGACTCCACTTGCCATTGAACCCTCGTGATTCCGATTGGTCATTGGCGTCGATCTGTCTCCAAGCAAGTACTACTAGTACTATGGAACATTGCGATAGACGGGTAAGAACATCACCTACTAACTCCATAGTATATCCGAAGTACAGAGAGTACACAGCAGATAGACAACAATCCCTAACGCTGAAATAGGGAGAGTAAGAGCTTGGCACAACAAAGACCGTCGGGATGAATCGGAAATGCCCATCCCGGAAGTAATTCCAAAATACTAAGGTACCCACCCATTCCAGACGACTATGTCCCCATAAGTTTCCTTCTGGGCCTTGAATAGCCGACGGGCATGATGTCAACGTTGCTTGTTCCCCGGATTCTATACGTTCTGGCTGACCGCTTTTGTTCGGTCGAAGCGTGATCGTCATGCAAAGGGGTGTTGTGCGTTGTATTTTGATTTTATGATTTTAGTTTTATGCTTTACTATTTTTTTTATTATTGCTTTTTGTTGTTTCTTCTATTATTATTATCTGGGCACCTGTGTGTGTGTGTGTGTGTGTGTGTGTGTGTGTGTGTGTGTGTGTGTGT